GATACAAGCAGATGTCTGGAGAAACGATCGACGAGTTCATCAATAGATGTCGGAGTAAGGCAAAGGAATGCAAATTCACCGAGGGGGAATTGAGTGAAAGACTCATAGAGCTGGTGATTTCGTCTACACAACTCGAGTCATTTCAGAAAGACCTACTCGACAAAAAAAAGGGGTTCTCAATTGATAAGCTTCTTGAAGAAGGCCGCAAATATGAGGCCATTCAAGTCGGTAAACAGTGCCTGCAGACGCTCCACACCATTGGAAGTGGGAACATTGATGCTGTTAGTCACGACAGTAGGCAGAAATGCAGGAACTGTGGTCTTTCACACCTTCCAAAGAGGTGTCCAGCCTTCGGGGACCTGTGCAATTCGTGTGGCGTCAAAGGACACTGGGCGAAGATGTGTCGAAAGACGAAAGAACAGGTCAAACCGAAGATCCCTCCTAGACGTCCACCATCACAAGACAGGTGGAGCTCACAGCAGAGACAGCCCAGAAACAGGCAGTATAGGCCTACATCCTTTCATAGCAGGAACCAGCGTAAGGTTGACGAAATTGGACCGGACGACACAAACCAACCGGACAGTGGGGAACGTGAATTCCACATGATACATATATCGCTAAACTCTATTGACTCGGAGGAGACCGAAGCATATGCGAGTATCAACATCATATGTCCAGACCTGAGGGGTCATCATCGCCTCAATGCAAAGGTTGACACAGGAGCCAGCGGTAATGTTCTGCCACTGCGGACGCTGAAGGACATGTACAGGGCTCGATGGAAAGATGTTATCCGTCCCACTACTACGCGACTATCTGCCTACGGAGAAACGCCTTTACGCTGCTTAGGCACCTTGATGATGTCGATGATGTATGAAGGGTCGCCTTGGGTCGTAGACCAAACATGGTATGTTGCCGACGTAAAGGGACCAGTCATTGTCGGACTTCCTACTTCCAGAAAGCTAGGGATTGTTACGATTCACACAGTAGAACAACAGATGGGCCTGGACAGTCCAAATGATCTTCCTCCCATCAGGTCAGCTAAAGACCTACAGGCGGCTTACCCAGACCAGTTTGACCAGATTGGGAACTTCAGTGGCAAGGCAACGTTGCACTTGAAGAAGGATGCAACTCCATCAATTGATGCGCCTCGAAAATGCAGCATCCACCTGAGGGACAAGCTCAAGAAAGAGCTGGATCAGATGGAAAGTAACGGCATCATTAGGAAAGTTACTCATCACACAGATTGGTGCAGTTCCCTCACCACAGCCCTGAAGAAGGATGGGTCATTGCGAGTCTGCCTTGACCCCAAAAGGCTCAATCAAAACCTGAAAAGATGCCCTCACAAGATTCCAACTCTAGAGGAGCTCAATCCTGCATTCTCACAGGCCAAGTACTTCTCGAAATTGGACGCAAAGGCAGGATATTGGTCAGTCCACCTGGACGAAGAATCGCAGGAGCTTACTACATTCAGATCACCATTTGGAAGGTATTGCTTTCGCAGACTTCCATTTGGACTTTCGGTGAGTCAAGACATCTTTCAACAAAGGATGGACACAATCCTTGCACAGGCGCCAGGCTGTGAAGGTATAGCTGACGACATAGCTGTATTTGGCAAGACTGAACAGGAGCATGATGATAATCTCTGGAGACTGATGGGAGTTGCACAAAAAGAAGGTCTGGTGTTCAACAGTACAAAGTGTGTGATCAAGGCGAGAAGCATCAATTTCTTTGGTTCACTGTACACAGACAAAGGCATACAACCAGATCCTAGCAAGTTGGAGGATGTCAGAGAAATGCCTACACCACAGAACAAGGACGATCTCCAGCGAGTGTTAGGGATGATGACCTATTTATCACCATACATCTCAAACTATGCTGAAAAGTCAGCAATACTGCGTGATCTTCTGAGGAAAGATGTTCCCTTTACCTGGCAGGAGGACCATGAGGAATGCTTTCAACGATTGAAATCAGAAATTTCAGAAGGAAAGTGTCTACGGTACTATAACCCCAGTGTCCCAACAGTACTAGAGGTAGATGCATCGCTCAAAGGACTTGGAGCCTGCCTCCTTCAGAATGAAAGACCAGTCGCATTCGCCTCAAAGAGTTTGTCAGATGCACAATCAAACTACTCAAACATCGAGCGAGAGACATTGGCACTTGTTTTTGGGATCACACGTTTCCATTCATATCTGTTTGGTAACCAGTTCACAGTCTACACTGACCACAAACCACTCGAAACGATCTGTAGAAAGCCCCTGGGGAGTGCGCCTCCAAGATTACAGAGGCTTCTCGTCAAAATACAGGGCTATGATTGTGATATCCTATACAAGCCCGGAAGTCAGATGACATTACCAGACACACTCAGTAGGTTGCCAAACCCCAGAAAGAGAGGAGACGTCATCGTTGAGCTCCATGTAGATGAAGTCATGGAATTAGAAGAGAATCATGACAATGATCTGGCAAGCTTCACACCTATGAAGCAGACACAGCTGCAGAGAGAGACAGCAAGCGATCCAAACTTGAAGCAGCTGAGTAGAATTATTCACGATGGATGGCCAGACGTGATTAAGCAGGTTCCAAGGAGCTCAAGGATTCACTGGTCATACCGAGAGGAACTGGGTGTCGCCAACGGCATTATCTTCAAAGGAAGACAGGTGTTGATACCTTCAACGCTGCAATCAGACATCCTGGAGCAGCTACACACGAGTCATATGGGTATAGAGAGAACTCGTAGACTAGCAAGGGACACGGTATACTGGCCAGGCATCAATAAGGATATTGAAAACCTTGTCAAGACTTGCCCTGCTTGCCAGGAGAACCAGGATCGGCAACAAAGGGAACCACTACAACCGCACGAAGTTCCAATGACGCCATGGACAAAGGTAGCCACAGACCTGTTTTTTCTTGATGGAACTGAATACTTACTCATTACTGACTATCATTCCAAGTTCCCTGTGATCAGGAAAATGCACAGCACCACAAGTGCTTCAGTTGCTACCGTAATGAAAGAAACCTTCAGCCTCCTGGGAGTGCCCTCCGAAGTTATATCTGATAACGGACCCCAGTTCATTGGAAAAGCTTTCAAAGACATGTGTGAATCATGGAACATCAAGCACACCACCTCATCGCCGAGATATCCGCGCTCCAATGGCCTAGCTGAGCGGATGGTACGCACCATAAAGTCGATGATTAAGAAGTGCAAACAGACAGGACAAGATGTCCAAAAGGCACTTCTCCACCTTCGAGCAACGCCTCAATCGGACCTGCCATCTCCTGCCGAAATGATGTTTGGGAGGCAAATGAAGACAACCCTTCCAGGTCGCCATGATCATGACAGACAGATGAGCGATGTCCACGACCAGCTCCAGCGAAGGCGGGATGTGATGAAGACCGACCATGACAGACATGCCGGTCGGGTACTGTCTCTCCTGAAGGTCGGCCAGAAAGTCAGAACTTTGCATCCAGACGACAATACATGGCTGCCGGCTGAGGTTTCAAGAGTTTGCCCAGAACCAAGATCATATGAAGTGACAACACCAAATGGCAGGGTGTTAAGGAGAAACAGGTCCCATCTGCGAGAGATGCCGATACAAATAGAGACGGCAACAGCACCCACACCAGGGACAGAGCATCTTCCAAGAGAGGATGGTGACAACTGCACAACACCCGCAGGAACACAGGATTTCGATGGTTCAATCCCTCGTTCTGATTCTTTTGCCTATGTCACACGATATGGTCGCAAGGTTAATCCCCCATCTCGTTATCAAGAATAAAAACTTCATCGATTAATAGATTGATAAACAACAACTATACTTTATTTGTTTAATGATTTAGCATACCCGGTAGAATTACATTGATGATAGTAAAACCTCATATTTGACATCGGGTGATTCAATTTCTTAATCAGTATACATGTATATAACCAAAATGTTTTATATAACTGCCACGCTTAATATTGGCTATCTTTCAACAGAAAATCTCTTCTGTATACAGAACCGAATTTAACAATTGTATGTCGTGCTCGTGCATGATATTTCTTCTCTCCACACAAATGACCAGGTATTATAGTTTTGTTACGCTGATTTGTCATATTGCTAAGTCCTAATTGAAATGGGATGAAAAACGTTTTTTCACAGGAAAATGTTGTTTATAACTGTTTGCCAGAAAGCAATATGGAATCACTTTAGTTTATTCCAGCAAAAGTTATGTAAATTATAAAAAGTTGAATAACATTATACAAGTATGTCGATTCAGCGACAAAAATATGCCTGTTATAGTGGAGGACACTATTTTACCATTCTAAAATTTGTTTTTCTTGTTGAAAGGTACTTGTAAGTTTTAGTTGAACAGTTTTTAGTACTGTGCTTCTCAAAAAAAAAAAAAAGAAAAGAAGAATATGTTTGGAATGTTTCCTCTTGTTGAAATTTCTAAATTGTGTTACTGTTTTAGTGGATAATTTCCGTCATGTACAGTGCCTATTGAGCAGGGAAGATATAACTGGTTAATGAGAGCACTATCAACTTGTCATTGAAAGAAGGGGGATGTTGTGGTACTATATGAACAACATCAATAATTCATTGATGTGCGTAATGAGGCCGCGATTGGCGGAAGGATACATGAATAAAGCACTTTCAAGATGGCCACTTATACATGAACCTTGTCTACAGTGATCTCTTATTTATCCGTTCATCTGATCTTTCAACAAAATGTGGTTATCTAGCTTGCAAAGTTCCCTACTTTTGGAGGGGGAAGGAGAAAGCAGTTTTAGCAATACTCCAGGGAGTGCCTGAAAATGCGCCTAATGTGGTTCTAAAATTGCAAATGCTTCCTACTCTAAGAGGGGGTTCTGACCAGTTCTGACCCTCGGGCCCTGGCCGGCCCCTCCCAGACCCATCCCCTCTTGGTCGCTCTGCTCACCCACCGCTGACGCCTCGCCGCTGTCATGTCGAGTCGCTTCGCAAGCAGCTAGCTAGCAGGCCATCGCCAGGCAGGAGCTGAGCTGGGGGCTAAGGAGACAGTGAGTCGCGGGATTTGTGAACCACAATAGAATGACCGTACTGATGTTATTGAGCAGGAAGCACTAGCACTCTGTAGATGATTTCGCTATGGAATGTAATAGCGCCTAAACTTTGTCGTCCAATGAATCATTCCGAGAATGTCTGTCGTGTTGTAGTTGTGCCATGCCTGTGACTTTGGTCAAAATTAGTTCTTCCTATAGTAATACCCCTTTAATTTGTGACTAACCCATCTTGGTCTACCGGGCCGGCAGAGCTGACCGACCGAGGGTATAGACTCGACCAGTGACGATCGGTGTGCAATCAATTGCAAGGATATCTGACTGGCTCTGACTTCAGTAGAGTACACTTCCTATAGGACCGTATATTTGCGGGATTACATCTGTAACACACTCCTTGTGGTAGGTTTATTTCATTCACAACATTAGACTAGTCTAGAGTAGATAGACTGCAACTACTGAACTACTTCAACTAGAATCTAGTCTAGTTTACCAATTACCAAAGTTACATATTTACTGAGTAGACGTAGGGTCTACAGAGTAGTGTACTATGTATCATGTACGGGTAAATAGAAATACAATAGGTCTAGAGTAGAATTAAAAATAGACCCTTATTAAAGATACTATGTCCCTTTTGCAGCCAACCTTAAATTCTGTAGAACTTTGCAGGAATTATGAATATGTCAAATTTCCTATCTGTGAAGTTTAAACGTTAGCAGAGTCCTAATATGCTAGACTTCACTGTCGGACACTATTGTCAGTATTGAGTGACTGACTGGCTTTTTCTTCTTCTTTGGTAATAACATACATAAAATGAGCTGTAAAGGATTTGTCTACATCAATAACCCACTTCTTGTAATGGCCAAAATTAAACTGATTGAATCTTTGCGCAGCATAAAACGTACAACCATGCGGTACAATGGTCTAAAAATCAAGACATTACTTATTGGCTCTATAGCTCCTAAGTCGATTTGACAACTAATAGTCGTTATTTTCCCTCTTAAAGACATTTTCAAGCCCCATTTTTTTAAGGGGAGTTCTAAATTATTATCTTTCAAATGCCGTTGGAATTTAACCTTTTCATTTTTTTGGCCTGCAAAAGGGACATAGTATAGACAATTAAGTGAAAATAAGGAACTTGACTATATATTAATTAAATAACATTTTTGCTTACATGTTTGTGAGAATTATATTTTTTATTTTAACTTTAAGATCATTATGTTGAGCAATTCAATCATAGGATGATTAGGGTTTGCTGTAAAAAAAACACCAATCTCTTGTAAACTGGAGAGGAAAATAAAATGTTTTTATGTGGACTTAAATTTAGCTCTCAAAATGTAGATCTTGATCTGGTCTATATACATGTAGATCTATGTCTTAAAATTGATTTTAAAAGTTCTTTGTAGTTTTATCCTACCAGTTGGTCTACACCGTCTACCGGTACAGTACTTACCATTTCTTAATATCTTTTTTTGATATTTCAGGTGGATAAAACAGCAGAAGAGATGGAGTCCAATCAAATAGATAAGATGAGGGACATTCTGGATGTTCTAAAGAAGACAGATACTAGTTGGGCAAGCCCGGAGGCCGCTCTTCTCTGTGAACAAATGGATGCAGCCTATTGGAAATCTCCAGACAAGATCAAGTTTTGTCAGGAATTCTGTGATTATGATGGAGCAGGTGAGGACAAATACTCTTTAATTTTAATAGAGTACAAATGATCCCCAGAATATCCATAGGTCTGAAACATGAAGAAGTCACACTTTGTGCAATAGAATAATCAAGTGCTGCCCACTGCTGCCACAGTGATGAAGGTGCTTCTTGAATGCCTTTTGAAATTTGCCTCATGAAAAGAATATTTCAACTTGTGTATATAAAGGATGCACCATCGGTGCATAAATTAATACTGATTACATAACTTTTAGACAAAATTTCATGATTTTTATCCAGTGAGATGTAATTCCTTGTAGGAGTACTGTTATTTTTGCAATATATGCTCTTTGTCAAAGAAATTGATTTTGTTGCTTTTTATAAATTGTTGTAGACCTACTTGTAAGTAATACTTTTAGGTGCTATTTGTTGAGCCTTTTATGGAGCAATAAAACAGGTGCTTCACAGCTATTTAAGAACACAATTGAGCAAGCAGTGAAGCCTTTTGCCTTCTAAATTGGCTTAAGCAATACCACATGAATTTTTTAAAATTGGTAATATAAAATTCATTTATCTTGTATTATGTTCAGTAGAGGTATTATCACATTGAATATATTTGTGCTTGTGATAATTCAAATGCATGTCTGAGAATTCTATAATCAAAGAGGTACATTTATTATGTATCATTTCTTCTTTGCCCACCTCACAAATACTTCCAAATTACTATCTAGAACTGCTGGTATCTGCTCTGATTAAGTTTGAGGAGGATGGACTATTCAAAGTGAAAGGGGCCTGGGAAACTGCCTTCGTCATCTACAACCACCTATGCAATCTCAGTGAAGCTAGCCTGGTCCTGTCCATACAAATGGGAGAAAAGGGAATGGTGAAACTGTGTTCAAGTAACATTGTCAAATACAGGGGGAAAATGTCAATACGGGTGAGTGAATGATTTGCTACATTTGAAACTATGTAGCCTTCATCTAATCTCCTCTATATCCATACACAGGCTGCACAATTAAGGAATCGTGTGTGTCATGATGTGGTGAGCAAACTCAAAGTACAGGATATACACTTCCTGTCTTAAAGAAGGATTTCCTTCAATAAAATCAGAGATTCTAGTTACACAATAAATGACTATGACTATATAAATGACTAATTATCCACATATTTAAAGGCTGTGATTTAGCTAATTTCTCCTCTTTCCTTACTCAATCAGTCTTCTCTGTTTTCCTTTAAATGATATTCTTGTGTAATTGTATAGTTTTTGTCCAGCTTAATTCCTCTCTGTTCACAATTATGTTATAGACTAGTAATACCTAGTTATTTTGCCACAATATGTGTCAGGATAGCAGAGAATGTTCTGAACCCGAAATGGAAAGCACTGTTTTTCCTTGACAACGTTTCTCATTGGAAAATGTACTTAAAGACCACCTGCCTATAACTATAAAGACTATTTTTCTTGTTTCCCTGTAGCCCTCTTTATATAGACATGTGGTTACCATGCCAAACTGTTGATAACTTCATACATAATAATTTTGGAACATCTTGGAGTTTGTCATTTTATGGCAAGATGGTATATCTATCCTATATTCACATGTATTCACCTGTCTTTTTGGGCTCCTTAGTAAGACAATGTCTTGTAATGCCCTCCCATAGTTCATCATTACACCACTGCAAAGAGTTCGTTCCTTAATACAATAGGTCCATTGCTGGATCTGTGGGAAGACTCAACAGGATTATCACCTGCTGGGCCTATAACTAAACTTGTCGAGCTGTGTTGAAAGATAGGCATCCACCTCTGATTTAAATCTGTTTATAATTGGTGCATTCACTGCTGACACCAGGTGTTGACTACACAGTGTGTGAAACTATACTTGCAGATGTTGATATGTGCACGCTCCTTGTGGATCCTCATGTTGTGGCCTCGTAGATTTCCAGCTCCTTCATTGTAAACAGATTGTTTATCTTGATATTGTTGAGGCCATGCATGATCTTGTAGACTTGAATCATGTCACCACGGAGGCATCTGTATGAGAGGGTAGGTATAGGTTGAGCCGTTGAAGACAGGTTTCAAGTCTTTCAGTGCTGGAATCATCTTGGTGGCACACCTCTGGACTTTTTCGATTGTAGTTCTATCCCTCTCTAGTAATGGGCTCCACACACAGTTGGCGTACTCTAGATGGGGACGCACCAATGTCTTGTATAGTGACTTGAAGATCTCTTCATCTTTATGATCAAATGTTCTTTTGATAACTCCAACGATCTTGTTGGCCTTGTTAGCTGTTTTAAGGATGGATCAAAAGTTACACCAAGGTCCTTCTCATCTTCACGAACTTCAAGGTCTTTTCTAGCTCCTCCTTCCATGTTGTATGTCGTCTTTACTACCTGTTTACCATAATGCATTATGCCACACTTGTCTACGTTGAATCCCAGTTGCCATCTTTCAGACCATTTGCTCAGATTATCCAAGTCTTCCTGAAGAACTTCACTATCTTTCTGTTCTCTGATGTTAGTGTACACCTTTGTGTCATCTGCAAACATCTTTACTCCTCTTCCCTTCAATACATCTGGTAGGTCATTAATGTAGATGACAAACAAAATTGGACCGAGCACACTACCTTGCGGTATTCCCCTCAAGACTTCTGCCCATTCTGATTTGTTTCCATTTACGACGACGCATTGACTCCTGTCTCCAAGGAAGCTCTGGATCCATCTCAACAGGTTTCCACTAATGCCATGATCTTCTTGAGTAGTCTCTGGTGCAGTACAGAGTTGAAAGCCTTACTGAAATCTAGATAGGCCACATCAACGCCACCTTCTTCATCTATCATGCCAGTCCACTCATTTAACACTTCTATCAATTGTGTTACACACGACCTGCCGGGACGGAAGCCATGTTGGTGTTCACTCAAAAGCTGATTAACATCCATAAAATCCATAATCTGGTCACGTAGAATAGACTCCATTATCTTACACACAATTGAGGTGAGGCTTACAGGCCAATAGTTTCCCGGAGATGTAGTTTTTCCTTTTTTGTAGATAGCTGTTACATGAGCAACCTTCCATGAATCAGGAACTTTTCCCTCCTGTAGTGACTTGTTGAAGATGGTGGTCAATGGATCAGCGATACTATCTGCAGTCTCCTTCAGTACTCGCGGGTGTATGCCATCTGGTCCAGGAGATTTTTAATGGTTTTAACTTCTTTAATTTCTTCTCCACTTCACTGCAACTTATTTCATATCCTTCAAGGGGTGCACCATCAAACTTTGATTTCGGATCAGGGATATTTTTCAAATCTTCTCTTGTGAAGACACTAGCGAAGAAGCCGTTGAGGATGTTTGCTTTTTCCACATCATTCTATAGACATCCCATTTGTCCTTTTTTGTTTTGCTATTCACCTGATATAAAGTATGTTATATAAAGATTCATACATGTATTTGATGCTGTTAAAATGTATTGCTCCTTTTGGACCACTTTCCAAAAAAAGTATCACAATTTTTTGTGTTCGTCCTATCTTTTAGGATATCCTATCGCTGATCCGTGTCTCTTTAGGCATCCTGTGCAATATGTCAACCACACCCGGCAACCGACACCTGTTTCGAGAAGAAGGCGTAGCTGAAAAGATGCAGCCATATCTGAAGGGTGACCCCTTTCTGAAAACCATCTGTATGATCACCCTTGCATATATAATAGAGGAGGGGCAGGAAGATTCTTTGATAGAAAAGGAAACAGGCAAGTATGTAGTTGGGTAGACATAAAAAATGAGCTGGTAATCTTACTAATTTGTGAATTGTGATATTTGAGTTTTGCAGTGGAGCTTTTTTCTAACCCAATTAATGAAAATGTAGTGTTTTTCTCCTATGACTGATTTTTGCACTGTCCATTCTGGTGATGATCAAAACATATTTGTCACAAAGTATCGCAAGCTGTTCCAAGTCTATGTAGATTAAAAAAATTTCGCATTCGGTATATATCTGCATACTTGGTATATGTATCATTATTAGTTAATACATCTTTTATCTCTGTATTTCATTGATAGATATTGAAATATATACCGTACATACATTTTTTTTAAAAATGGATTCTCACAGAGACGTTATCATGATGTCATTGATAGCCTATTATGTTTAGCTGTTGAAAGTGACTGAAAATAATGGTAGTACGTCCTCATTCAGTTTAAAAGTGATTTACTTTTTTTTACAGATACAATTGAATACCTGGTAGGGATTCTTCGAGATGCTGTCAAAAGTCCTAACAAGAGGTTTCAAGGGTTGTGTGACCGAGAGATAGCTTTGGCTCTGGGAAGGCTAGCTGTCCATGACAGTAGTAAATGCAAGGTAGATAACAATGGATGATACCATTATTTATAATTCTGTATACTTTAGGATTCATTGTTGCAAATGCAAAGGTTTAAAAAAATATTGTTTACATTGTTTCATAATTGGGGGGCTATGTTTAATTCTGTAAATTCTACCGAATTGGTCTACCTATTCATAAATGCTTATTTGTTTATTAATTTCCTTTTTCATCAACCTATATATTAGTACATTAACGGGCAGGTGAAAACTAATCAGTAATATTGAATATGCTTTTAATCATCAAGTGCCGGGAAGTCATCTCTCAACTGTCAAAATTCTTGAAATCAACAGATTCTTAAAGCTGGAGGGCTCCCTCTGCTGGTCAAGATGTTAGAGGACAAGAGCGCGGATACCCAGGAAGCTGCTGCCAATACCATCTGGAATCTGGCCTTCTCAGAAGATGGCCGTCAGAAAATTGCTGAGAATAAGGATTGTTTGAAGCTCCTTGAATCACTCACTCAATGCTCTGAATCCCATGTAGCAGATGCGGCCAAAGGGGCATTATGGGTAATCACCCAGGGGCAAGCCAAGCAGGTGGAAAAAGAAGTAGAGGCTGAAGGGATGCAAGGTGAGAGGAACTTTTAAAGACAGAAAATTTGTAAGATTGAAAGATCAGATTTGGTAGATATTTGGTGGATAAATGGTTTTTAGAACTGGAAAACGTGAGATAATGTCATAAACTGATATTTAGTCCGTCAATTATGTTTGATTTAGGCAAGGTCTTCTTGTTGCATATTTTTAGATTAATCGCTTTTTACCAAATGCTTTAGATCTCTTTTTTTAACTTCTCTGTAATAGAATACAATTTACTACATTTAATATAATCTCTCAAAGTCTTCTAGACTTCATAAATCTTTAGGTCATACAGTTCAAGTTATTGTTCGTCTTATCTTGTATGTATTCAAAATCAGGAGAGGAGAAAAGTTATTCACACATCATGATCAGTTACCAATGGGGATCACAACCTGTAGTTCTCACGATAAGAGATGCTCTGAAGGTAAGTGAATATCAATAAATGATTTTTTACCCAGTATTTCGATCATTCCGGCAATATTATGCTGCCTACTTCTGAAGGTATTCATTTTTTTTCTCAACACAGATTTTAGACCAATGTCTTTATGTCTTCATGTATTTTGTGCTTTAAATCTTCAATTTTATACTTCGACCAACCGGTATATCAACATTTCATTGCCTTTAAATTCCTTTGAATAACCAAAAAGTCCATTTTCATTTTCTTGAGAATTCATTTTTTGTTTCTCTTGGCAGATACATGCTGTCCTATCAGCTATTGCATTCTAAATAGTGAGATATGTATCATTTATGTGCCTTTGGGAAGAGACGTCATAGATGTATTAAGTGCTATATAAATCCAAAGTACAAAAGAGTAATTTTTTATTAATATATGTTTTTATTTTAGGCTGCTGGCTACCAGGTATGGCTTGATGTTGATCATATGCATGGTTCTACACTACAAGCAATGGCAGAAGCTGTGGAGAAATCATATGTAGTTCTTATGTGCATCTCAGAGGGATACAAGGAGAGTCCTAATTGCAGAACAGGTATGTCACAGCATTGTGCCACATAGATTCTGCCTAATAATATCTTTTTAGACTTTAATGTAAACTGTCTTCCAATGTTACCTGTTTCTCATCATTACCTTTCTATGCCCTTTGCATCCCAGTGTTTTGCATGATATCTGAGAAACTGACTTATAATTATTACTTTACAGCATTAGAATGTGTTTATTACCCTACTTATATAATAAGCTATCCAGTGGTGCCCATCTCACCAGATTTGTTTCAATCTGGACTGTACTCAGTTTCGATCATTTTGGTAATCACATTGATTCATTATAACATAGAAGATTAGCATTCCATGTGAGTCAACTTTAATATCCACCACTATAGTATGCTGTATGCTAATTTAAAATGGACTTCATCCAACCAGCCATTTCCCCTTAAAAAATAGCCATGGTTTAACTTATACATTGTCATTTTTAATGTTGTGGTGGCAGCGGTACGTGGGATAACCCCTTTCAGTGCTTGTGCTTAATCACAGCTTAAAAAGCGATTGCATTGTGAAAAAAACGTGGTGGAATCAGTCAGAAAAGGTTGATCATCTAGCATATAAGTATTGGCGTGTACTGCAAGGTTCTGGAATCATCAAAATGATAAGAAATTTGGCCCAGTCTTGGTAAAGTTACAACCACTGTATGCAGAAAGATGTATATGGGACTACCCTATATCTATCCAGTCCAGATAGGTATAATAATTTACCAAATATATCAATTAGTAGGCGGTTTCCCGGCAAAATTTGTATCAACACGTATTAGTCAAAACATATTCTTTAACATGATTGGTAATAGGAGCTTCCATTTCATCTTTTGAAATGGAGGCGTTTCCAAAACTGGTCTTCACCTTTAACCTAACAAATTGTATTCTCCAAATATTAACAGAGGCAGAATATACATTCAAGCTTGGAAAGTGCATCATTCCTGTGATGATGGAGGAGTACTATCAACCTGATGGATGGCTAGGTATAATACTTGGATCTAAACTCTACATGGACTTCTCTGGAAAGCTGGATCAAACGGAAGAGATGAAGAAGCTGCTAAGAGAAGTACAGACCAATCATGCTGATGCAGGTGGTGAGTTCATGAGCTGCACCTTCATTGTAGGATTGTATTCACAGTAGGAGTAGGAAACATGACAAATTTTGACAACATTTCTTAAATAATGATTCCTTACCCTTATTCAAACCTGTAACCGATCATTGGATTGGGCCGATCGTTGGCTGGTCAGACGAGGTCGGATAAAAAATTCTGATCGCCGATCAATAAAAATGTTGTTTTTTTTTCCCCTTTTTTTTCCAATGCCAAAATTTTTCAAGTTTTTGGCTATCAAATGCTTTAAATAATGCATGGCTGGGATTATTTTGTCAATTGGAGTTGTTGTAGAACATGTTTGTTAATATTTATTGCCTTTTCATGGCTTTGAAATTAATAATCTTGGTCTATAAAAAAGTGTAGGCATCATTTTGTGTACATTGTCATTAAAATCCAAGATGGCGGCTCGCATGGTTTGCCTCAATAGACTAAAATTATAAATTTCAAAGTCATGAAAAGGCACTTAATATCAACAAGCATGGTCTACAACACTCTAAATGACAAAATATCCAAGCTATGCATGTTTTTTTAGCATGTTTTTTTAAACTTGAAAATTTTTGGCATTAAATTTCTTTTGTGCCGATACCGATCACAGGTGCGAGGGTGTTGCTCCTATCCGATCAAAGCCCCAACTTACAGGGTTACCCTTATTACTATACATGCATGTAGTATAATATGTATTGAACTGTTAAACCTTTCATGGCTGTGACAGAAATCATTCCACATAGCTTAAGAGAGCAATAAACATGAATCTTGAAACATGAAATGATGATTGTTTTGCTTGAAAATTTGCAGTATGATTTGTTAAAAAGTACCTCCTTGAGACCAGGGAAATGACCTTTTTATAATGAAGAGTTGTGTAATCGGGGCTAAAAAAATACACAATTGATTAAAAAGCAGTGTGATCAGCAAAATTACTGTATTGTATTGTGAATACCTGTTCTTTATAACAAGGTTTCACTGCATATCCTGTAAGTATACTGCATCATCATCAAGTTAACGGGCATACATCACACATATGACTTCATTTGAAAAGTTTTTGTTTTGATGTTATATGATAACAAGCTTCTCAATTTACGGACTATCTCCTCCAAACAAATTTAGACTAAAAACACTCCTGAAAAATATCATTTTTTTGTGTGGAAGATTTTCAGACTTTTACCCCTGCCCTCTGCCTTTGATGCATGTGAAGTAATATTAAAGAAATTAAGAATCTTGTACAGGAAAGTACTCTTTCCAATAGTTTTAAGTTTATAACTCATATCCTATCAATTGCTTTTCATTTGCAGATACTGTGAAGAGAGCAGAAGTAAAAGAACTAAAACTACTTACACAGTTGTCTACCCAGCCAAACACCCCATCACAAGTCTTGAGTTGGTCGAATGAACAGGTTCAGGACTGGCTTAAAAATTCAGGACTTGATAAGTAAGTTTATAAAAGGGCTCAATTCTTGAGAGAACATTTAGATATTTAATCAAAAGTATTTTATGTGAAATTTGGAAAAGCTGTTCTTTCATGGGGAAATTACCAGAAATGAGTCAGGAAATACTTGTATGTATTTTTACTGTCTTATAATCGAGATCATTATCTTAGTCCAGAAAGACAAAACGGAGAGAAAAATTGTTCTAAAGCAAATGTTGGTGTCGAAGTTACAAAATGTCAACTGTTTTTACCACACAATGTAGAAAATTGCTAGACCCATACTAAATGATATTTCCCTATGTATTGTACTCAAGGCAAAATTGTTGTGACTGATAATATAATAATTTGTGAAGCAATAATTCAGAACCACTTTAAGATATTGGTATGAGACTACCTTATATATTATATAATGCTCTAGCAGGTTTCATAATTCTGTCATACCATAACAGTAATCTTTCTGATAGAATGTGTCATTCACTGCTGCCTATTTGGTGATATAACGGTACAATCATGCACAGGAAATTCAAGATTCTTTTGTTTTACTTGATCCTTGTCTACAGATGGAGACCATCACTCCAAGAGTACGATGGAACCTTCTTGTTCAATCTTCACAAATTGCGCTTGGAAGCACCAGAGTTTTTCTACAGCTCCATCCAAGATGACCAGGGTCTCCAGAAATTGAGAGAAATTTTCAAGTTTACTGCAGCTCTTGAGACAGTCATGAAGAAATAAATGGGTAGAATAGATGAATTAATTTCTATTAAACTACATACATAGTCTGCAGGGTTAGGGATAAATCCAAGGAATGTCCCATGTTTTACAAAGTTTTATTGAATTGTTTAATGGAATTGTGAACATTAATTGACATAAAAAGATAATGATGTTTCATCTGATTCAATTTAGTAGGGCTTTCAGATATTCATACAGTTATCAGATATCCATCAGACATATCCGATATCTTAGATATAGTCGGTTATGCACGGAAAGAAATAGCTTGGACTTTCCCCTAGATTAATAGATAATCGTTATCTTCGGTAGGGGGGGGGGAATCAGTTTTGATTGTTGTATATTGTTTGATAATTTGCCGTCATGGAGGTTAATTTCAATGTATTATTCTGATGAATAATTTGGAAATTCCAATTGTGACACAAGGGAAAATGTCCCTCACAAATCATGTATACTGTAATGGTCCTCAGCAAGTACAGGGTATAAAAGGTTATTATCATCTTTCTAGCTGTCACAGACATCACTTTTATATTGTTGAACAGAGTGTAGTGTATCTTGTTTGCAATTTTTTCTCTCTCCAAACTTGACTTTGAGCATGGAATACGGGTACAATTTGGTACATGTAATATTGAATATATATTCATATAGCTTTTGATATTAACGTCTCTAAGCACCAATAATGGAATAGCATGTATCCCCAGAGGATGAAACTGTGGAAACTCGATTAAACAGATTTGTGAAGTATGACTTGTTGCATTCAAAATCTTTTACTAAAACGAAATATCAAATATTTGTCAGAATACCATATAGGTAGACATGTACTGGTTTGATACAAATGATAAAATTTACAGTTATTTGAACATTTCATCATGTTTTTTCCCACAAGGTTAATACAAAAACAGGAAAAATAGAAAATAATGTGATGGATCGCACAGTACACTATAGTTGTGTACACATGTTCAATTATATGTCTAAGTGAACGTTTGTTATGATTGAAAAGAAAGTGATTCAAGAGATTTAAACATGATCATTTGAAAGACATTAACTTGCATATTTTTATGGAATGTCCATTATTTTTTTATTTTTATTCTACTCAGTGAGTGAATAATAGTGCAATTGAACATTTGTATGCCAATTATGATGACTTAAAACCATCTAACATTCCACATAAATACTTAATTTGAGGTGAATTATTCACTTTTGTATGTCAGTGTATAAGAGCAGAATGGCTTGAAGTGCAATTTTTGTATACCGGTATCCTGATTTTTTTAGTACAGAATATGTTTACATCTGTATTAGCTGAAAATCAATGAACAGCGATGAGATAAGAGCCTGAAAAAAACCTCAAGACTCATTTTTCATATGTATTTTATCATGTTGAAAAAGTGAAATTATTTTTCTTAAACTTGATTTGTATATGCATGTATTATACTCACTTTCTAAAAGATTAAATGATGCAATTTTAGATATATAGAGTCGTTTATAGAAGTATTTTGTAAAAACCTATTTTCACTTTCTAGTCCAAGCTGCCTTTATAATATATGCAATAAATTAGCCAAATACTGCAATGATATTGTTAATTGTTTCCCATGTTTGTTTGCTTCAGTGTTATTATACCAAGACAGTCATTAATCATTCATCGATTGTAGAATTTTATTTAATAGGTTCTTTATTATTTTGCTGTTCTCTTTCATTTTATATGCATCTGATTGAATAAATGAAATTAAAATATAGGATATAAGTAAATGATAAAACTATATGTTTACAAATGATAAAGAAGGTAATTTTGTTTTTAATTGCCAGGGGTAGTTGTCGTGGTTGGGATGGGAATACTTGAGGGGCCGGAACGATAGTTCGCTTAAAAAAAAACTGTTTATACACAAGTTTGCTGAATGTATCAAACCTGCTAAATACTATTTTCTGATGAACACCCCCCCCCCCCCCCCCCCCAGTCTGCATAATTCCACCCAAGACAACTAGACCATGATATTTCTATGAAGGGAAAATGATCGACTGCGCATGCTGTCTTGGTTAATTTAGACCTGTTATACACCATGCAGCGATGCAAGTCTTCCCCATTGTAGGACTGCATGGACATGAGACCTACATCTTCATATTCTGATTAGGGGGGGGGGGGGGGGGCTAGGGGAGTAGGCAATGTGCAATGCAAGAAACATTAGTATATTTACAAGTATAAGTAAAGTATATAAGCCTATTTTGCCTATTGCTTTGTAAACACAATGCAAATGATAAAATATTATAATGCTCAGCTCAGCTCACATGTAGCATATAATCTTGTTGATAGCAAATATAAGCAAGATCAAGTCAGATCGACCCTTTTACCAGCTCACAAATCAGACTAAATTTTTGTCGTTGTATAAAGAGTGTTTTACATGTATCAGGTAAATTTATCAAGCGAATCATACTTTTATTTGGACCCAAAATATCATATATTTTTTCTACATTCAAGCACAGTTCGGCCTATAATAGGGCTAGGGCCTAAATAAAAAATAAAAAAAACAACAACAACATTCCGAAGCTTGTACTACAATATACTCGCGTGCTTATTTTTAGACTAACCACTCTTTGAAACTAAAGCTCTCTACGTACAGTTAAGTTGTATACTACATGCACGGTACGCCGGTACATAGTGCACACGTAGTTCGTTTCGACGTGGCATTGCAGTGGAGGTTGAACAGTCAATGTTTCTGAATTTACATATTCCTAGGAAGAATTTATATCTAAGTGTTACTGTTGGAACGAAATAAGTCATCCGAGCTTGAAGATGGGTTTATCAATTTCGTCCATTTTTACCCGATTTTTCGGCAAAAGTTCAGTGAGGATATTGATGGGTGAGTAAAACTAAAATTCTAATTCAAACTTCATTCACAAATTCACGTCGACACGTTCATGTCGAATACGTTAGCTAGGCAGTAAGACTAAGCTAAGAGAAAGATATCAACAGAAAAAACTGCTTAGCTTAGAGTAAGACATTGGAGGATTAAAACAAAAATACATAATCGGTTCAGTGAAGCCAAATCCAGACATGGTCTCGGCGAGACATAGACCTCTATCGACAAACAAAATAGTTTTTTTTCTTTCCGCCTAGACTAACGTTAGGTCTAGTCCGAGTCGTATGAAATTATGAATTATGATAATTTGTAGCCTAAAAAGTATCACATTTTCTTAGTAAAAATGACAGTAGACCCTAGACTATTGTTTTCCATACAAAGAGTGGAAGTTAACTGTGGAGCCAGGCTGTCATTGGGTCTACTAATTTTAATGACTAGTCTAATGAGCATGATGATTGATATGATCTGATGATCGATGACGAATATGAAGGGGAGTGGTAAATGTACGTCAGTGCACCCAATCTTGTAATGACTTGTTTAGAGGTCTATATTTATTAATCATAATGACATTATTTCTTATTCTAAAATCTAAGACTCAAGTAAGAGGGCCAAATATATCATCAAAATTTGAGCAAGAACAAAGCCATGTAGAAGTAGCGGCGGCGTGGTGCTGGTAAAAGAATAAGAATCATCCGCAGAAACAGGGATCGTCTTTGCAAACGCCGACAGACGCTTCAGCAAAAATAAGGATCGTCCACATTTTTGCAGATGTTTCATATTTCTGATCTGCGCGTTGGCGATGCGAAAAACAGAGTCTCTGATGATTTTCTTCATGTATTTTACATTAACTTTGATGATTTGATCAGAGACTTTCACGTTATGAGCGATAAATCCTCGGGAAGACAGACAACCTATATAAGTAGATGGTGAACTGAGGTTATTTTATTACGTGGAATCCGTTTTTCACATCGCTAGCGCACATGAAAAAATACATCCGCGAAAATATGGATGATCCTTATTTTTAAGGGCGCAATTTGTCCGCGTTTACGAGGATGTCCTCGTTTTTGCGGACGATCCTCACTCTTGGACCAGCGCCCCTACTGACTAATGTCATGATGTATTCAACAAATATAGTTCTGTCTGACCCGGCCGATATATTTCCGGGTCAACGTACCAAAAAAAAGACTGGCCAATCAGATCATTTTTTTTTATATTGGGTTTATAAATATTTGAAACTCGACTGGGTTAGCCAGGCTGACTCTAGGGTGTCTGAAAGATTTTTCAATTTTCAATTTGGGATTGTTTTTCACCATTTTTGTTGGATATTTGAATAAAAAATGTAATCAAAATAATACATTTCAAATTTCTAGACTCACCAATGTTTCTATCAAAAGATACAGCCTCTCAAAAACTCTGCAATATTCATAGCATTTTGGTCAGAATGGACAAAAAAGTGGTTCATGCAAAGTTATAATTTTTGCTCAAAAGTTGTACAGCACGATATGCAAAACGTGGAGTAAGAGTATTTTCAAACTGAAACTCCTCGTGATCCCTTGGGACTAGAGAAAAAATAAGTGCATGGATATATTCTTTACAGCTGGCCCAGCTTATCCCTCGGGGGCTCACTTCATGAAATTGGTAAATCTTTGAGTTACCATGGAAACAATGTTTAAATCGCTGTTTTAAGCAAGATATTTTTAAAATTGGGGGGGGGGGGGTGAGCCCCTTTGCGGAATGTGGAGAAAAACCTGCTCTTTCATATGACACCTCACTTATTGAGTTTCACCTTCAGGATCACAAGATATATTGGTTTGAATCTCATTTTGGTAATAAAATCATTGACCAAGCTTGCATGAGCGCGCAATGCACATGGACTACATAGGGATGAGTGCAATCTCTATGAGGAGGATTTTAGCACACAAAACTGAGTGCGCGATCAGACACCCTACTCTTACTACTCTTAGGTACATGTACATGTAGCTATTCGATGTTAGAAAAAAAAATCAATATTAACTGGTACTCATCAACTCAAATCAAGATGGCTGACAACAAATCATGTTGACGATAAGTCTTTCCCCGATTTCGACACCTCCATTTCTTCTTAGGATATAATTGAGCAAGCTATCATAAGTCAAAATACATATTTCCGTTATAATTATTTTTACAAATAAGATGGAGTGTAATATTGCAGCCAAAGTGGATATATGAAGTCGGAAAGAGTGAAAAAAATTGCATCTTCATTCATCTTGGTCTAGCTGAACGGACCCATTTCTTCCACACACTACCCCATACGCCGTACTTCAGTCTAGTATAGAGGCGGTCAGAGGAGCCAGATGTGATCTCAGCGAAACAACCGTCGATATCAGAGAGACAGAGACTGAAACTTTCAGTCTACACCAAGCCTTACCTGGCAGTTGGCATGCACCTGCCTTCGAGAGACTTGGCGTATAGGGTTCTATTAACAAAAAACATGAATGCAGGGACAACAGACCATTTTTGAAAGTGCGGTGGCGCAGGCTGAACTGGCTTAGCCCAAAGCCTGGTTCTGGAAGAAAGTCTACAATATATATATATATCACTGTGACCCTTTGGTCTATCCTCCCAATATAACTGATTGGGGATGTGCACTTGTGCAGGTAGACTACAACACCACCGTTTCTATCACATTTTCAAATTGAGCTGGGGTAATTCCTTTGCTGCAAGTGTTAACAACAAAAATTGTTACTCTAAATAGGAGATTGTCTTTTGTACAATCAGTCAATCGTATAATCAATTGTTCAGCTTTGTGTTACAGGCCCCAGGTGTTTTGCTATTTGAAGTTCAGTGTTATTTGTGTTGAAACTGCTGTATTGTTGATTCAGCTTTCTTTACAGCATTATCACAGTTTTTAATTAATTACATTCATCATAAAAGTTGAAAGGCACACAGTGTTTGACAACTAATACCATTTGACTACCGGTAGTGTGATCATGTAAATTCTTCTACAGATTCTTGTCTTATCATTTTCATATGTTCTACTTTTTGCAACAGTTGGACTAGACGCTGCAGGAAAAACCACAATTCTGTACAAACTAAAGCTAGGAGAAATTGTGACCACCATTCCCACAATAGGTAAGTACATGTAAATGTGATCTCCACAACCAGTAATAAATTAATGTTTTACCCAAAACAAATGATATCCCCTTCTATGATCGATAAAGCACTATAATTTTAATACATGTATTAGTCCTAGTTTGTGCATTATAATGAATTAACATTATTTCAGTCCATGCAGAATGGTCCTAAACCATTATTACTACATGGGTTTCAGGAAACTTCAAAGTTCCCTTGAGTGTTAATTTATGTATTTTAGAGCAATATGCTATTTGTATGTTGTGATTGTGAGCCTATTTAGGCCTTTATTTGGCCAAGAAAAAAACATTGACTACAATAGTCACTACAGCAGTTGACCCTAAATGAGTTTTTTTCTCTTTCAGGATTCAATGTAGAGACGGTGGAGTACAAGAATATCAGTTTTACAGTTTGGGATGTAGGTGGCCAGGACAAAATCAGACCACTGTGGAGGCACTACTTCACAAACACACAGGTGATCTACTTTGTGTCTTTCATTGAGTTTCTTAGTCTCCTTGGTCAATTCAGCTGATGTGATATAAGGAGTTGCTTGGATGATATTCATCAGTATTTATTATGCCTCATTAGAAGAGAATCATCCAGACTTTATTAGAAGAAAAAAGTATGGCATGCACTACACTGTCTTGGGTGCATCAAAGGAAATAATGCTATTAATCAGTAGCATCTGTAGGCAGAAGCATGGGTTATAGTCAAGTGCCTAGAGCACCATGCATTAGGCCTATACAAAAAAAGATGTTGTATTATACAAATAATACACAGCAGTGAGCCTGAGGGCATTAGTAAGATATATCCACACAAGGTACCGAGTGTGAGTAATTTTACTTACCCGGTACTAACAAAATAATGTGCACCGGTATTATTTGTTTTATAAGATGATGTTTTATTTGTCATGATTTTACTAATGACTTTACTAATGACCGGCCATTAGTAAAATTATGTGTTAGGCAAAATAAATGCCTGATCACATGTACTCAAAACTTTGCATTATCTTTAAGATCCTCTTCATCATCTTCTAATGCCTGTTAAGCTCTTGTTTTCTCTTGGAGCAGTGTTCAAAGTTACCTAAATGTCTGATTCCTGTCCTTAGATCCAATATTTTACTGGTGCCATCCTAGGTTCCACACTTTTTTGTGGAGATTTTAAGATGACCGACATTAAATCTTTTGTATCCCTCTATTTTAAAATACCAGATTTAAAATAAAATGATAAACTTACAACCTGATTTATACTTTCAATTTCTCTCATTTAGGGCCTCATCTTTGTTGTGGACAGCAATGACAAAGAAAGATTAAGTGATGCAAGTGAGGAACTCAACAAACTAGTAAGTGGTGTTTACCTGCTGTAATTATCAAATTGTGTTTTTTTTTAAATTTAAAAATGTTTTTTTTTAAATAAACCTTTCCTTTTAAAAGCTCTCTCAACTGGCTGGCATGATTGTTCACATTATTTTTGTAAATCAGGAAACAATTGGTATGTAATGGTGTAAACTTTGCAACATAAACTACGACACATTTACACAATGCCATTGATTGTTACTTACTGGTACTAGATTTATCAGGTGGAACATAGTTCCAAGATTGTACCTCGTAATCATGCACAATGTGTAATTTATTTTGAAATCTCATTTTGATCAGTTTCCATCAAAAGCACTGCTAAACTATTTGGAGACAAAAACAGATGAAAAGAACCATTCAAGCTCCGACCATTCTGTACTCTTTTGTCGGTATGGAGTTGAATAAATTTTGCAGTTTTTAAGGTATTATTGGAATATGATTTTGATTGATTACTTCTTAGTGAATGTACAGAAGATAAATTTTTGATACAAAGCATTCTTCATAGTTTATTTTTCTTCTTTGCCATGCAGATGGGTGAGGATGACTTAAAGGATGCAGTTGTGCTGGTATTTGCCAACAAGCAGGATCTCCCAAATGCCATGAGTGTCGATGAAATCAGACTAGCACTTTCAATGAATACCTTGAAGAATTCAAATGTGAGTACCGGTAGCCATGATCATGTAAACTTGTTAAAACTCTGGAAATGGAAATATATTCTGAAGGCTTATATTGTACTGATTTTATTTTAATGTAGTTCTTAAAATAATCTCTCTTCAGAAAAATGTCCATGAAATTTGAGAGATAATATTTTTAGTATTTTAAAAACAAGGCAAAAATATAGTTCTTTTCAAAACCTGGTGAAAAACTGAAAATGATGAAAAATTATTGATGTAATTTCATAAAAGAGTAACTCAAAGATATATATCTCGTTACTAGGCCTGAGTCATGATTTTTTTAATAGACCAGAACCGGATTGCCTCACACCGATTGGGCCCTGGAGCAACGATTTATAAATGAACAACAAAAGAAAAGAAAACAATCCAACACAAAACTAACGTCCTAACTCGCTCAGATCTATGTTGATAGAAAGATCAATTCTCACAATTTAATTTCTTGAAATCTCCCTTTTACATCTGCATTCTTTATTAAATATTTAATTTGGTTGTTGGAGAACAAATGTCTGTCCTTTACATCCTTTCTTGGCTACAAGAGACTGAATTTTCAATGTTGAAAATATCTTCATTACTGTCATCAAAATGTGCATGTGGGGCAGCACCATACTGGACAGCACTGAATTTTTGTGCTCAATTTGCAATTGAAAAGGAAATCTTATATGTCTGTCTATATTTTTTGTAAAATGTGAAAAAATAAACTTGAAACTTGATACATGGCGGAATGAGCTGATTACATTTTGGGTGTAATTTGGAGATCAAAATGTGAAAGATCACAGGACATTAAAAGCTAAAAATCCTGGAAAACAAAGTACTGTGATGATTGAACAAAACTTGAACCAAGTTTGACATTTTAGCATGCAAAGATTAAATGGTTCATGAGATCGGTTGTTAAAAGTCACAAGATCATTAATCAATAAACTTACATAAAGGCAGTCATATTGAGACACATTCGCATTTGTCTAGTTACAAGAGCTATTTGGACTTTGCCAATTAGATTAATAATTATATAGATGAGACGTTTTTATTCAAATGTGACGTTACAATGTCATTTATGTATTGTTAGTGCCGTTGATACATGTATATCAAACTTAAGCATAATTTCTCAAACTCTCTCTTCAACAGCATATATTTGCAGCCTGTGCAACACAAGGTACTGGGCTGTACGAGGGATTAGATTGGCTATCATCAGAGCTTGCGAAATGATTCCCCCGTCATTATAGACTTATTCTCCCTACCCGTACATTCTACAGAATATCTCATGGTGTCTGCTAATAAATTCCTGCATTAGTCCGGCATTGTTCAGCAACCAGTATGAATTTTCTTCATGCCGTGTTTATGGATGTTTGTGTCGCAACTCCTCCAACACCAGATACTTCCCTAAGAGATTGTATATGACATCATCACTCAAGAAATACGAGCAGGTTGCTAGTGATAACTCAGCCTTTCTGTTATGGTACACACTTGAAAGAACTGTTTAGAGTGTACCGTTAGTGTGAAAGAAGAAAGCTGCGACGTGTAAATTTTCAACAGTTAATAGTTGTAAAGCATTTAGAGACGGTATTCCATATTAAGCTCTATATATATCTTGATTTATTGTTTTTGAATATTATTATAATTATTGTTAGTTTATATTATTATTAGTTTTTATTATTATTATTATAACAGTCGACTATGAAGATAAATAAAATAAATAACAGGATTCTGGTAAGTCTAATGTTAAAGATCTAAAAATGTGAGTATATTCACCTAAGCATGGAAAGGCCAGGGTTCTGAATCCCCTCCAACTCCTGTTCAGTGTAGAAAGTGACAGAACAACATCACAGAGACAGTTAAAATATTAAAGAAAGGCTCTGAGAGATGTTTTTACTAGTACATTATTTATTGCTCACCATTTGTCTAGAGGGCTGAAGGAAGATGTCATTGATTTTGATTATTTTTTTTTCAATCCATACAAATACAATGTAATATTTCAGTTATGAAATGATCATCTATCACTTCTGGCAAGTATTTGTATTTTTTGCCGTTATTGTTTTTTTTCTTCAGTGTATTTTGATACAATAATAATGTTGATTGTAAACGTTGAACGTACATGTGTCTGAAATTATGTGTTTCAGTAAGTTAGCTATGAACATACACTTGTACTAGAGTTTAAGACTTTAAATTCAAATAAATTACTGCATTACTGAGTTTAAGACTTCAAATTCAAATAAATTACTGCATCTGATCGACATTGTATTTTGCAGCGTAAACTTTTTAAATCATTAGCTTGCTGGTGAGGGAGAAACGTGTTATATAATTGTATAGATTTAAGCAGATGATTTGGCACAAATTTCTAATATTTTCTATACCACATGTTAAACAAGTTATGATTTATATGTTGAAGTTGTTCAGAGTAGGTTATTTCATTGTATTTTTTTCTTCTGCTTACCCTTTGCCATCCTGCTTGTATTCCTTTATTTTATATTTGTTTCATTTGATTCCGTCAATTTAGTTCATTTTTGCAAGAATAAAAGATGCATAGATCCAAACTTGCTTAATAGAAAAGGAAAGCATTTTTCTAATAGCTTGTGTAAGAATTCGCTTACCAAGATTGTTATGTTTATGTTTGTATTTATATATATAAAATTATTACATTTGCTTATATCACTGCAGAGACTCCTCAAATAATCCTTAATATTGATTCTTTGGGGGAAATATAGGTGAGTAATATGTTTTAGCCAGAGAGAAGACCTGAATGTTCTTGTGATATTGCGAGATGCATACATGAGAGTCATGGACAACTTTCAATGCCAAACTTGTGTAGTTTTACATTGGACTTTCTGTTTGTCTTTTTTAATGACTACCATTACAAATTTCTTTTGTGTTTATAAGAGACCAATAAATGCATCTATCTATCTGCTAAATGAAAATTGTGACATTTATACCTTTTGCATCAGCAAACATAATATTAAAAAAATAGAGATTTGCATTTCAAGCTACCATAAGATACCATTATGTCAATGCATTGTAATGCATAGAATATTTGAGCACAGCTGTTTGAATTAATTTGTTTACTCTGTATGGTACTGGTTGTTCTGATTAACATTTTGCCTAATGTGTCAACAATGTGATGACTTTCACAGAGGGACAATATATTTAAGTCCTCTGCTCAGAGCCAGAGGATCAGTAATTCTTATTGAAGAAAGAATAAATGCCCTTCCAACACTGAACAGATTAGTGACGTTTTATCCCACTTATTGGGAAATGAAATTCAGTTTGTCTCGGTCAGTCATGCATTCCAGTCTGAAGATATCACATTGCTGTGCAGCTGAACCCGATTTCTATGTACAGTGCCAGAAGAATTCTCACTCTTTAACTTACTTTCGTGATTACTCGGATTGTTGCGGATGTTCATGAACAATGTAGTCTGGGTTTACTATTCTCTCATGAGAGTGGGCAAGACATATATATTGTATGTCTTTTGTAATATTGTGTATATCCACTGTAGATACGTCGGGAAGTGAAAACAAGAAGGGTTTAGGGAATTACTTGACATTTATAAGTTAGACAATTTACTAGTGTACATAGTCTAGAATAGTGCAGAGGAGGATACAGGTCTGTCTGAAGGGGGAGGGGGTTGTAACTTGTACCTGACGTTTAATTTTCCAAGAAATTGAATTTAAGAGTCCTGTCAGATTTCTCCAGGATTTTTCAAATGGTTGGGGGGGGGGGGGGGGGGAGGAGAAAATTACATCGATGAGTAAGAAAACAATTTTTCAGGTAATTTTCCTTGCAAGAATTCCCTGCCTTCCCAGTGGTTTGAAAGAAGGGGTAGAGGCTGTGGGACATCCTACCACTAACGGCTTGTTCACATGTTGCTTTGGTAAACCTTGGTGGCGTTTTGTGTGCGTACTAAGTGCCTGGCTATTGGGGATGAAAAAAGTAGCGACGGGTAACGAAAGTCCTACACATACTCACTCATCTGTGTTTTATAAGATACATAAACTGTGAGGTGCAATACGCTTAATATGTATGCTTAAAACCCTCCATAGTTTACAGTGGCACTCGTGAGCAAGCCTCCCCCCCCCCCCCCCCCTTTCATTTGTTGCTCTTTTGTAATCTTTCATTTACTCCATTTGTATGTTTGGTCATGGATATTTCGGAAAGAAAATAGCTCTTCAGCCACGAGAAATGATCGACCTCTGAGATTGTGTTCCTAATATCTTTGATTGGGGCTGTATCCTGTATGTGTTCTGGACATCCAAAATGTTGAGGAAGGGCAAGAGCTATTTACTAATTTTACATGTAGTTTTTTCCTTACAGTGGATAAAAGGTATTGATTGTAACAATGTATAATGATTAATAAACATAATAAATACAAATTTCTTCATGTAATGTTCTGGTTGTTTGCTGTCTTTTTCATTAAAGATGTAGTATGTGAATGAATTAAATGGCAACAATGAGTCAAGTAAGGATGAAACCCAAGAGTAGGCATTTATAGGATTTAGGATTTGAATTATGTATCGTGAAATGTTTCAGGAAAATTTGGTCCTTCAAAATCAAAAGTATATTAATTATGGTTATTCTTGTGTATTAATCAGATTCAGAGTATTCAAGGCTGCTTTAGGCTGCTTTAGGCTGCTTTTTTCAATTAATGATATCAATGAATGAACAAGGTAGACTAAAGTAATGTAGTACTTCCTTCTTTCTTTAATATCCTCTTTCTCTCTTGGGCCAAATTAAAATAACTTTTAGTTTCTCATGCCCTTTAAGCTTCTCCTTCCTTTTTAGTCTTGCTCAATTTATCAGTTTAATAAGTTTATTCTGAAAATTATATCGGTATCAGTCCGAGGACATCTCATCAATAGAATCCACAGAAATTATTGATATACAACTTTTTCACCTTGGCCTCTGTATTGGAAGTGAAAATAAAACAGTTTGTGTTGAAATTGACCCAATATCATTGAATATGTACAGACAAAAATATCGAATATATGACATAGAACCAACTCCTCGTTTGAAAACAAAATCAAGACAAGAAACTAGGAATCAATTTAGACTCTATGTCACATGTTCTAGGTGCACTATAATATAGGGTCCACAGATTGCTGGGGCGTGAAGGGGGGGGGGTGGCAATTTTTAAAGATATTTTTGAACTAATTCATAGGAATATAAGGCTCCCTACTTTAATAGCCTTGCCAGATTGTATTTGCCTGGCGAAAATCATCCAACGACGATGGAAACGCCATGAATTTCAACAACAACAAGCTGGGGGCATTCCCCTGCCCTCTGAATTATCTGCGCTGCATGCCACTGGATTTCTTTCAGCCGGTGTTGGCGGACGGTACGGAGCTAGCGCACATCGGCACCGTATCAGGTGACCGGCGGTGTTGTCAGGGACGCTCTGCTCAAACGACATGCGACTTACGAGCGCGAGTGAAGTTAGTTCAGATTTAAATCACGATACCGGTATTTCCCCCAAAATGGCAGATGATAGTTCAAATCAACAAGTTCTTCTTTCAGTTGAAGCTGAGGCGTACGTTGAAGCAATCGAAACATTCCGTGTCCAGGATATAGGCAGCACCAAGTGAGTAGGGTCTATTAATTATTATGGAGTTACCCCACCGTACTGTCCCACACGTTCAATTTAATGTTTGAACTGTGAACTGTGAACTGAGTCTGAGTTTTAACTGGAGGTGCGGATAGGGTGGATTAATTTGTAGATGGGGGGGGGGGGGGGGATGTTAGGGCAATTTTTAATTTGACAGGGTCAGTGTAGGCGATAGTCTCTGGATTAACGTTAAGCATGGTTCCAAATCCAATCACCACTTCTTATGAAGTCGGAGTAGGCTATGGGCCTATGGGCGGCTATGTGGATGTGTCTGTTCTTGAGTGAGTTCATTGAAATTGCCTGTTGATATTCCCTCTTCCTTCTCTGGTCATTTTAGGTTGGGTGTAGTCTTGATAGTCTACATCCAGCTGCCCGTACATCATTTTGTGGAGACAGAAGAGACGGTGTTGTTTGCGCTTTCTTGCAAAGATCAGTGTAGCAAGAAGACTGGAGAGGAGGATGTTAGCTATGTTAGTGTCTCTACCGTAGGTGTTTGTCATGAATCTTGCAGCGCATTTCTGCCTTTCTGGACTCTTTCAATGGGCTTTATGTTCTTATTTGTGTGGGGATCCCAGGCTGCCGTTGTGTAGTCTAGTTGGGGTCTGACTAACATTTTATATAATTTTTCCTTCACTTCACATATAGAGTAGAGTCTCCGGTTTGCGGCATAGCCCGGTTTGCGGCCAGGGGTAATTGTTTTTAAAATAAAATGAATATGACTCGATAATAATCATTGAAACCTACCGTGGATTCCCTGGTAAGTTCTGCTTTGCCGAAAACGTCCGTAGCAGATGCTCCTGTCGGTACGGAGTATCCGTCAGCGATGTCAGAAATCTACGGCACCAGTCGCCGATGAATATTCCAGCAGGTGCTAACTTTTAAGTTAAGAGATCGAGGCATGACTAGATCAATATTGTAGCTCTATTTGTCCGATAGTTGTCCGATTGGAGGTGAAATTTGATGTTTTTTGTGGAAGTATGATGGCTGTGGTCTGTCTCCTATCGCAGATATTTTGATTGTGCCACCGCATGGCCAGTTGCATGGGGTGGCCGCAAACCGGCATGTAATTACGTGTTTTTCTGGTTTGCGGCGGGGGGTGTTAGTACACACATAACATGCAGGATCGTGTATGATGGTATGTGTGCTGATGTGTGTACCCGCTATGACCCGATAGTTTCTAGTAGTACGTACCCCCGTATGGGATGATCCAATCGAGGAAAAGGTGAAATTGTTTAAAACTTGACAAATTTACCGTAGCAACAGATAAACATGAGAATTTGGGTTACCCGTAGTAATTTGGTACATCTTTGATCGTGACGTAGCGCATAAAGCTTTGTGACGTACACGTGCCGCAAACCGGTAATGCGTGCCCGCAAACCGGGGAACTCGAAGCATTTCGAAAAGTGGTCAATGCTGACCACGCTGTGGGTCAGTTAGGTTATTTGTGACTTCTATTTAATAAGTAAGTATATGGACTCTTTATTGAGGGTAGTGAAGTATTCTGTGAGTATTTTCATAAAAATAGAATCGGCAGTTCCCGCCGATCGGCCGCAGACCGGAGCCACTAGCTACTCTAGACCCTATCTGGCTCAACGTGATAGAAATTCATTCGCACAAAATTGAGTACTCTTGAAGCTTTACCCGTTGCAAACTCTATTTGTCTGTTCCAGCGCAGATCTTTCTGGATGTAGATCCCAAGATATCTTGTCTCGTCTGTTTCTTCAAGGACAGTGCCCATCATTTTGTAGCTTGTTTTTCCACTTTTACTACAACAAGTTTGGTTATCTTTAAAGTGTCTGAACAATTAAAATTTGACTTGATGTTGACAAGTATTTTATTTCATATACATGTACCCCTGTAAATGATTAATCTCATATTATTCCTTATATTCTGAAGAGAAAGTGTGCCAAAAATCTCATCGAAATTCAGGCAAGAACAATATTATAGAAAATCATGGGGGAAAAAAGCCGCTTTTTCATCTGATGTGTCATTTCAATATTGCAATAAAGAAAAGGTTCCCATATCTGTACACTTATTCATCGAATGCAGTCGAGGAGTTTTTACAAGAAGGACAGCATATGAGACAATTTTTTTGTTTTTGTTACAAGTGTGTTTTCAGTACAGACTACAGTTTCAGTAGCACTTCATTGCATCCCACGTATTGGTTTCCTTCTTCCCAACTCTTATCTTGCTTATATACTCTTCATACAAGCAGTGAACAAATGTGTGGTTTCCATAACCACAATATAAACCCAGTTTTTAGAGTTAAATTGGTGAAATAAGTATTTTAAAAAAATTATATCTATTTCCCCCCTTATTTACTTGTTACATGCAATACCGGTAGATACAAAACTCAGCCTTTGGCTGCAGAGCATTGTCAAAGTAAAACCACTATGGAATTTAATTTAATTGAACAGATCTATATTCTTTTTCCTAAAGCACTGCGAGCCCTAGCAGGAGACTTTATCTTGCTCCATTGATACAGTCATGTATCTAGAACTAGAATTTAAATTATCTAATAAAGTGAGCAACAGGGGCGGTATTCTGAACCCTGTGTTATCTCTAATATTGTTGTATCTTTGAAGATAAGATAAAGTTGGTATTCTGAACATTGTTGTAACTTTTGTGTTATCTTTTGTTGTATCTTTTCTCTCATCTCATTGGCCGCGCCTGCGCTCATAGTTTGGTGCGCTTGTAATTGTGCGTATTATTAATAAAGTGGCATTTAATTCTCATTTGCATATGCTCACGGGAGATAATATGTCGAGATAATTGGTATTCTGAAAGTTGTTGTATCTTTTATCTTATCTTATCTTGCATGGTATTTACAACAATATTTACAACAGGTAGGGGGTTGTTGTATCTTTCGTGGTGATATAATGGCGGCAATATTTTTTGCCCAGAACCAACTTCGTGCCAATAGACGAGTTAGAAGAAGATTGTGTGTTGACCGGAAACATCACAGATGAGAACTTTCTAAGATATATGCTAGGATAGGACTATTTTAATGCTCTCATCTTAACCAATATAGTGAAAGCGTGATTTGTCTTCATGATCCACATTCAACAGCGCATAATGATGACGCGCGTAATAAGTGCTCAAATAACTAATTACGCCCAAGATTAGTATGCGCTAGGCGCATCTTCAGATATGGCATAAAGTATTCCTATTGGTTGATCTACTTATCATGCTTATATAAAATAGATTTTGATTGGTAGGGTCCATAAAAATGGGCGTGTCATCAATGGTCAAAGATAAGATAGAGGCGGTCCTTCAAGAGATAACACAGGGATAAAACAATGTTCAGAATACCAACTTACAACAATATTAGCGCTGTGTTATCTCTGGAAGATACAACAAAAGATAACACAAAACTTACAACAATGTTCAGAATACCACCCCTGGTATCTGGTGCAAAAACATTCTGGAAGATATTGGAAGGATACATCGCTGATTCGATTCCATGCATCACCGCTCTCTTCTTTGCAGATGGATGAAACAACATGAGTATTTGGAAAAACTCAACATTCAAGCTGTGCTGCATGCTTCGAGCAACCAAGATGAATTTGTCAAAGAGATGCTTTTATCCCATGAAAAGGTCAGACTACCTTGCACTTGTTCAGTTTCCTAGAATATGTATCTATCTAGAATAGGTTATTAATTGACTCCTATATTATTATCTCTTTCTATAATATACTTTTTGCCCAAGCAAAGTAAGTCTTGTTTTCCTTCTGTTTAATATCTTTCATTCATCACTTAATCCTTGTTTATAATGAATTGTTTTTTTGTTTTTTTTTGTTCTGTTGACACACCTAGCTGTATCTATTCTTTACTCTATATTACAATAAGTAATGGTGATTTTTTAAAATATATTCCATGAGGATACAAGTCATGTTTTACATTCCCAGAGCAGAAAAGTTATATTTTTGTTAAATTTATCTTCAAAACGGATATACATGTAGACTAAAGTGAGGGATGACTTCATCACATCATGGATTTGCATACAGCCTATGTGATACATTAAGCAAAATCATGAAATTCTGTAACTTTTTTAATTTTCCATCCTAATTTTAATGAAGCTTGCAATGATTTTTTTGGTTTATTTTTTTTTCTCCATTCAATCCAACTTGAAAATGTGCCAGACTTACTCTTTAAACATGCCTCTACTTTCAAAACGTAAGATTTTCAACCAAGGGCCGTTCGTGGATTCTCTCTTTGAAATTGCTTATTATAACTGCGACAAAATGTTTATCTCCAATGGTGATATCATAAATGAGGATATATTACCGGTATATGTTTTTAAAATAAATAAAACAGCTATTATATTGCTCGATTAGAGGAATCAAATTCAATCACTTTGTTTATTCTCATATTGAAATTGCTCTATCGTGATTATTCTAATATGTACGTTAAGGAACTTAAGGTAATTGAGATTTCTATCATTTTCAAATCTCTAGATACCTGTTGTGATCCAAGAACTACTCGCTCTTGAAGTTTGGAAGCAGAACGTCTTTTCTATCATTCAGAGAATGGACTTTGAACCCAAGACGACCTTTCCTCTTTACATGGCTTTGTACCACGAGGCTACACTTTCAAACTTGTTGGAAACGATTCTCTTTCATAAGGTGGGTTGACATGAAAGCAACATCGCAACCGATTGCTGGTCAAATTTTCACTTAAATGCGTGCTACATGAAGTTCAATATTTTTGTTGAAACTGGCCATTCAAAGACCAGAAATTAAGTTGGAAAATGTTTTGAAACCATAAATTTTGACTCATGAAGGGTTTTATGGTGATATTTGTGTAAAGCCATCATGGCACTTTTTTTATGAAAGTGGTTCAAAGAAGTTCTTTGGATTGCAAAGTTCCCTTGTGTTCATCCATTTAACTCTCTCCTATTAAAACTTTTGATATTAATTAATTCAATATGTGTAAGATTGTGTAAAATATTTTGTCACCACTCGTAGCATACCAACCAAAATTGTCACACCCAATTTACTTTTTCTATTATGAATAATGATATAAGGACACACTATCTATATATTTTACAGAACAGGAAGTAGCTATTTTTTTAAATGCTGATTTAGTATTAGTTTTCAGCCGTATGCATTTCGAAAAACAACAATTTCTTGAAATGGTGGTTTTGAATATCTCAAACTATTTTGTTACAGGAGCCTTGTGAAGCTGCTGAAGACTGCGTATTAGATCTTGTCGATTACTGTCATCGGAAAATCACTGATCTTGTTGCAAGGTAACTATGATAAGGACACATACTCTTGGTTGTTGCACCCACTTATACACGTACTAGCTCACCTATTTAAAATAAATTTATACTCCTACATAACTGTATATCTATTAGAATTTGCTACAATCGATAGGTCCTGTGTGTAAAGGCTGGGATTGGTCCAGGGGTATATTATACAGGAGAAGAAAATGAGTCTCGAAATTTTCGTTTTGAACTTGGACACCCAAAATTAGTTGCAGAGTAATAGTTGAAGAGTTAAGCTAGTCTATCCCTGAATCAGATCTTGTAGCATGTAGAAATTATATTCTGTTTACATTGATTCTGGCATTTCTTTATGCACTAGTGTAGCAATGAACTCATGACACAGCTAGTACCACATCGGTTTGGGCCCATGAGTATAGTGCTATCAGCTCGGTTTGATTACAATGGACATGATACCAGTTACTTATTCATTTACTGGTATATTATATCTTTATTAATATAAGTTTATCTATTGATTAATGCTTTTAAAAATATGGTATTTTTAGAAATTATATGAGAAAAAAATGTTCTGCCTGTTTTGCAGTCTTCACACATTTAAAAGAATTTTGCATTATGATTCTATGAGTCAATATGATGTTGTTGATGTTTGTTGATACTCTTTTTTTCTAGGCAAGAAGAGAATCAGGACGAAGAAGAAGCAGAGCTTCCTAAGGATGGCAAATCTATTGATGAATCATCAGCCATGGAGGTATGACTTTATCTCTGCTTTCACTCCATAGTTGGAGGTATAATTTATACTAATTGGTTACAAAATGCCATTTATGGACCAACATCTGTCTAAATGGTATTCATGTGTCTTCTCTTACAGTATGCAATTTACATTGAAATATGGTCAAAGGAAATATGGTAAGCAATTATCATATATATATATATATGTTAAGGATTTATACCATATGTGGGTATCAGATAATTTAATAATTTGTATTGTTTTTATAGGCTAAAATATATTTGTGATGAATTCCTTTGTCTTTCAGGAGCTGAAGAAGCAGCAGCAAAAAATCCAATTTGATGTAAGCATCAAGGCCATCTCCATATTCAGATATATCACTGACCATCTATCCAGGTAAAGAACAACATATTTCATATTTCTCTAGCTAAGATATATATAAGATATACTCAAACATGTATATTGATATCTTGTCTTCCCTTTGAGTAAGAATGGAAAGCTTTATTTAAATATTGTGGGCGATAATTTCTTTGTGGTCACTACATCCATCACACAAACAAAAAAACAACAAAAAAGAGAGGAAAAAAAATTATCACATTTTGGGATGCCATTTTACCTAATGTTTCTCTGACAAGTGAAAAAGGGGTCATCATCTCAAGGGGAGAGGGTGGGGGCATAATTATGGAGTATATACTTGGGGTATGTCACTTGGTTTAATATCCAACAGTGCTATATGAACTATTTTCAAAGGTCATTGCACTTTATTTCAGCCAATGAGATCTAACTATCTTGATAAGATTCATGAATAGTCTTGCAAATTTGAATCATTTGTTCATTAAAACATATTTGATAAATAAACACCAATGTATTTGATAAATGTTCATTGTGTTTCTATATCACATACCTAAAAGCCCACAGCATTACAGAGTGATCTTCTATATATGCATAAAGAGGTATGTTCTAGATCAGATAGAAATGAAGTTGATTGTGTTCATCCTTCACTAATAACTTCTTCATATTCTGACCTCGTTATTTAAATACAGTCTTTCACTGAGTGTGACGACCAGAATCCTCAACACCTTGGATATACCCAGTCTCTTGGTCCAGCTCGTTGATGATCCACCTTGGACTAAGTACAAGGATGGTATGTACCAAACACATATGGTTGAATTAATCATATATGAGTATTCATATGATACATGGTATTAGAATATATTCAAACAAATAAAGCAAATGGTGATGATGCATTATGTGATGATTAGATGGTTATTGGTATTAGCCTTCAGTCCACTGCTTGATTATCTACAAGTATGTACAAGTATTTACTTTCTATAGTTGGCAAATGAAGTAAGTCATAAATCATCATTAATTGTCATTGTAATTACCAGCGAAAAAAATAGACGAATTTGCCCCCGAAATTTGCATAGAGTTCAATGCAACACAAATTTTAGAGTGTTATTTTTATGCAGGCAAGCTTGAAAAGTAGCCCCCAAAAAATAAATATTAATTTTTTCCCTGGTAATTACTAATCATAGTTTTGTCACAATCGTCATCATCATCATTGTCTTTGTATACTTTGTCTTCTTCATCATCGCCATCAGCAGCAGCATCATCATCATCATCATCATCATCATCATCATCATCAATATTATTATCATCATCATCTTCATTGCTCCCTTACTATGATGAAAGACAGTCTGATGGTTTTAGGATTTGCAATTACTAAAAACAGATTTTCTGCATTTCTCTTTCACATTCCATGCATACGGGATATGGCCTTTCCCGGCCATCCATTCACCCAAAACCAATACTGTTCATTTCTTTGGTAATATTATCCTATCACCAGGGAAGTTGTCTAAGTACATCGACAACAAATGGCAAGAAGTAGCCCCTGCTGACCGGCTTCAGTTGACCAGGCTGGAGGGACAGGTCTGGATTGCTCTCTTCAACCTCCTCATGGGACCAGATTGTCAACAGAAATACGCATTCAATCCACACAACAAGGCCCAAATACTCAAGGTATATTAGATTATAGCTGAGAGCACCAATCACAAATTACAAACCTTACAGTTATCTATATCGTGTTATTTTAAAAGTGCAATTCATTCTAAATTTTGATCAGATTAAATTTTGGAAGAAGGAATTTGTTTAAATTTAAATATTAATTTAATTGAACAGAAAATTTCAGCAATATTTCAATAACCTGTGAGCCATTCCATTTATGAGATTCCTCGTCTACTTCCCACATTATTACCCTACAATGAGAAATTTAATATCTTTTCTAAGTTAATGCATCAAAGACAACTGAAATAAATTCAGGAATGGCTTAGAAATTTGACCTATCACGGTATATAAGTTGTCATGAAAAGCTGCTCATTCTTTAACACCTCCACGCATATATTACAAGCTACCATATATGGCTGAATATTAAGATGATATATAATACAACAGTGAAGGGCCATTAGGAATGCCTGCATTGATATTAACACTCCTGTATGCCTTTTGACTTTTCATATTCCAGCTACGATCACATCTAACCGAAGTGCTGGTAGATCAGATCCCTAACCTGTGTGAGCTCCAGCGTTACCTTAGCAACCTGTCCATGATGGACCCACCTGCTGCTCAGACAGGCATAGTGTTAGAACAGGTAAGATTAGGGGGGTGTTTGACAAAACTTGTCATCCGTGATAAATGACAGTTGTTGTTATAAGCTACTGAAATCCTTGCTTCTGATTGGTTATCAGCAGATTTGTCACTGATTTTTGTCATTTGTCATTGACTTTGTGAAATGGGTTACTGGAATTAAATAAATAGTAAATACATACTTGGAAATTATTGTTTGGTCTGTTGAGAGCCAGAAGGGTGTTTACTCTTTGAAGTCTTTAATTACCTCCATCTGGTCAAAAGATTGACATAAAGTATAGTAGGCTTATTTCCTCTACTAAAGATTTGTAGACCATTTAACTTTAAAATATTTGTTACTACTGGGGTATATTATATACAGTGTGTCCCAGAAAAAACAAAACCTAGAATTATTGATGTTTTATCATAACTTAATCACAATTATAATTAATAAATGACACATATTTGTAAAGCTTAGATCCTCCTTTTTTATTTGATGCAACTCATATGATGCATATTTCATGCATGAGTGATTAAAATCAATCTGAAGAAAGGGTACCAAAAGGTCATTTGTCGGACGGTATCTGAATTTTAAAGAGAAAATCACATTTCTAGAAAGTTCAAAATGAGCTAGGAATAACAAAGTTCTGTTTATTTAAAGTAATGCTTGCATTTCCATAATTTCATTAAACAAATTCGTTTTCACTGGCTGGCTGTCGTAGCAACAAACAGAATAACAAAAAAAAAGACTTACGGTAACTCTATTTCGTTGACAATCAGCCATGCATGAAGTCTTTCGTCTATGGCTGATCGTCAACGTAACCTTTGTACCCTTTCTTCAAATTGAATTTTAATCACTCATGCGTGAAATATGCATATGAGTTGCATCGAATGAAAGAGGGGGATCTAAGCTTTACAAATATGTGTCATGTATTAATTATAATTGTGATTAAGTTATGATAAAACATCAATAATTCTCGGTTTCGTTTTTTCTGGGACGCACTGTATATAGTTATGTATAATATGTATACACCTTTATATTTAATTTGATTTTCATAAAATACTATTACAATCGGTATTGAAATTCAAAACTTTATTTTCTAGAGCAGGAAATATATATTCACATTCTTATTTGTAGGAAAAGTTGCTTTAGAATGTAAACATTACTATTATTATCATTCTTAATTTCTTATTATTCAATTTCGATATTTGAATCGATACTTGATTGGAGCTATGAAACGAAATCAACAAGAAGGGTTATTATATAGGGGCAACAACTGATGAAAACAAACAGAGTGAAATATAGATAATAAAGGCTGTTCTTATACTTTAATGTAAATTCGGGAAGAATTCATTTTGGGGGAATAGTGCTTAATTGTATTTGATTGAAAATGATGAATAGTCCTTCCTATAATTTTCTTCTGTAACAAAATAAGAAAACTACATCTGTCTCAGTTGATCAAATGGAACATTGTAATTTGTAGAAAAATCAATCAATACGTGGAGAAGTTAAAATTATTTATCATTATTCTTCTGACCTTGATTTAGGTGCCTGAGATTCAAGAGAGGATACTAAAAGAGAATGAAGGCAAGTGGAAGGCCATCGCTAAGCATCAAGTCAAGAACTTCTTTAATTCCTCTGCAGAGTCCATGCGGGACCAGGCAAAAATGTGAGTCTCAAAGTCATATATATGAAGTTCATAATTATTGTGTGTTACGTAATGTACTATCGTGGTTACTAATTTGTTAAATCAGCAGCTTTATATCACACAGTGCAATACTTCATGCAGTTGATTTTGCAGCTGAATGTTAATTTCTGACCTAGTAAATTTAAACTTGTGAGGGAAAAATATACTGTGTTATAGTAATCCATTTATATGTACATGTTTTCATTTTAGCTGTATGTAATCTAAACATTTTGCTTTATAAGATTTGCCAAGAAAGAGAAAGAAACGTGTTTGTTTCTTCCCATGCTATAAGGTTTGAAACGTTTTATGCACAATATTCTGCTTTGTGGATGTACACACTATATTTATGTGTGCTCCCCATTAGGCGTTAAAAAAGATGTTGTATTGCCCTTTGCGACCGACCCCAAAATCTTGAAATCTACAGTCGGCTTTAAAAAAAAAGAAAAAGTTTTTTGGAAGAAAAATGTTTAATTACCGGTAATAAAAAAATATGCATTAAAGCAAAAAACTGAGAAATATCAGCCCAAAAGAGGGAGAAAAAAAATTCTGACTGACAAACCCACATTCAACATCTTTTTTTTTTTTTAGGCCTTATTTATGAACAACAAATTAAGTAATTTTTTTATTTGTATTATTTAATCAATAACAGTTTGAATGAAATCTGTTTGGTGGTCTTGATCTTGTTGGTTGTAGGTTTGCAGACATGTATAACTTTGACGTCCTTGAGTCCTTGATAGCGGAGCCGCCAAAGTGTGCCCTCTGTGGTTCACCCGCTGCCAAGAGATGTTCACGATGTCAGAACGAATGGTATTGCAGGAGGTCAGTGCCGTTCGTGTTCATTACCGTAGCTATTACTGATGAAAGGCATTCATTTTTATGTCAACCTCTTATAAACGTCCGATAAGTTTAAAAGAAATACAAAAATAAAACCCTCCTCCCCATTTCATTGTTATAGAGAAAATGGAAAATGACCTTTATATTTTCCCTTGATCGCAAGAGGTATTCACTATCATTACTTTGTTGTCTCAGTGATTAAATGAATTAAAAAGACTGTTAATTGTGATGCATAATTTATAATTACATACCTATGTATCCTATTTCAGTCACTATTCATTTATGAACATTTTATGTTCCTATCATTCCTCTTTATGTTATTTTTTTTGGTTGTGTGTGTGTATAATTTTTGTCTCTATTCTTCTGGTCATGCATAATTTATTATTACACAAATCATATTCCAATCACTAATAATTTATGAAGTATTCATGGTACTATCCTTCCTCTCTATTTGGATCTTATAATATATATTTATGTATAATTTTAATATAATTTATGTATAATTCCAGCCTCTATCCTCCTAGTGTAGTTGAACGTTATTTCCTTATTCAATCACATCATTGTAATTAGATGGATGGAATTCCATATTTAATCATACACATAATTGTAATTATATTGATAAATTTTCTCAACTTATTTGTCTTTCATGACAGGGAGTGTCAGGTGACGCACTACAGCAAACACAAGATCGCATGCAATCTCATGGTGGAGGCTGAACAGAAACTCAAAGAAGCTTCATTAAACAGCTAGCATGAATATAACAAGCATCATGATGGACAACTTAAATCCTTTGACTACTGACTCCTTTCATTCCCATTGGCTTAGTAATGAGCAACGCGGTTCCAGTATCATGTAAAGGGGTAACTTGGAATAGTGTGCCGGCATGGACCGTCTTCCTTGTAGAGTGCATATATTGCAAGATACTAAACTGAACAGTTTAATGCACTTTGACTGCTGTTGGATGTGCAGCTTATGGATACCGTGCTAGAAGACGACAAGTATGTGTATACTGAGTCTGAAGGACAACGCACATTAATGCTGAAGGATCGAGACATCTTAAGTGGTACATCTTGGCAATGATCACTCTTATTAAAGGTTCTATTCAAGCTTTCAAATGTATGTATTGGAATATCAGTCTTAAAATATGGCGGGGCAACCGGATTGTTTACATGGAGAAGATGATTTGGAATTCCTTTGAAATGGTGCTCTATTGGTGATGTTCAATTATATTGCACTTTGAATATTTTTCCTTATATAACTGTATGTAATGAACAAGAACATTAATTTCATTGCATGACGATCCTCTTTCTTAAAATTTGGGGGACGTTTTTAATATTCTTACTTATCGTATTCTTAGTCTAGATATGAATTCAATTGAAAATGCAGATATGTGTTATTTCACATTCATAAACACAAATACTTTTTCTGTTTGTGGAGTTTATCTTTAACATGTTTATGATATACATCATATTGTTTCATGCATGATCCGCTTCTACACTTAAATACACTTATAAAGTCAACTTGCTCAAGGGCTATAATAACCTTGAAGTGCCATTGGAGTACTAAGTTTTATACACAGCACAGCAGTGTACTTATGTATTAATATATGTATCGTATAGTTTATGTAACATTGAAGACATTTTAAGCCATCACATATATATGTGCATAAGCCAGTATCTCACAACGTATCCATGCACTCTATGGTACTCAATAAAAAAAAAACACCTTAGAAAAGTAGAATAAATAGATTTTGGATCTAAAATGCCTGTGGGAATTAGGAATATTATACAGTCACAAAAATAGCTAATAAAAATATCAGAATATTGATACTTGACTGAAATTCAATACCGGTAGCAGCTTTGTCATGGGAGATTCACTTGTATTGACAATAGTTCAATATGCGGTTTGACTTCAAAGTTTAGGACAGTATGTTATCAACATGTATGGATTTTAATATCATTTTGATGATTTTGCACCATTCCTGCGATGCTGGCTGTATTAAGGTTCTATTAAAAAAGAATTTATTTATATCTGGACTTGTCCATAATTGTTGTGTGGTTAGAAATATGATATCTTAATAAACTATGATTATATTATATTAATGTTGCACAATGTTCCTTTTTGTATGCATGTATTTAAACAAAAAGAGTACTTTCCATGCTCATGATAATCAACAATAACAAGCAAAATGCAGTTGAATAAGAAACTACAATGACAATGCTCAGTTAAAATCTAGAGCATCTATTTTTATTCACAAAAATTATATTACAAGATGGCCAGCATCAGCTACAAATTAGAAGAGTAAACACATAGAAACATCTCAATAAATAATAATAATAATAATAGTGGGTTCTTGCATAGCGCTCATGTCTGTCATACGTGACACTCCTGGTGCTTCAAATTATTATCCTGGCTTTAGCATGGCTGCCATACAGCGCTCTAGCATTTCAAGGAATTAATTCCTGCCAGGTACCCATCTACATCACCTGGGTTGAGTGTGGCAAACGGTTACTTTAGACTCGTAAAGTGATATAAATCAAATTTGCTGGCTATATAATTTTTTTGTGATATATGAATTATTTCTGCTACAGGAAGAAAAACAACCATTACTCATTCAAACACAATACTTTGTCTCCTAGTTTGCCTAATTCAGGAATGTTTACAACTTGGGGACATGAAATTAATGTATAGTTTATGGGAATGGAGGAAATGAATAATACAAAATATCAAGTAATGAAATAACTGGACTTTTTCTGAAATGTAAAGGGTAAGCTTTGAACTTTGCTTTGGTGTACGTGCGGAAAAGACGGACAGGTAACAAAGAAAGACACTTAGGGGGAAGAACATTTATGAGCAAGATTCAAGTGTTTTATGGACATACATGTAAATTAAAGCTATGTAGAAAGCACGAGATGGTGAGATAAAGTCCCGGCCCCCCCCCCCCCACTCAGTGTTATTTAGGGTACGCATATGCTTGTTCCCTCTTTTTTGAAAGCACCCCCTATCTGACGACTGCCAACATTTCTTAACCCCCCTTTTGCTGGCTTTTCGCGGGCTTTTCCTGCCTTGGAGACCCCCCTAAATCATGAAAAATGCTCAATGTACCCCCCTAAATTCTGAATAATTTCTCCGCAGTCCAAAGAGATGAGAGAAAAAACAAAAAAACACCCCCTTTTTAAAGAAATCTCCGGGTGTAAAGTTAATATACCCCTTTTTTTACAATTCTCGGGCCGGACTTTGTCGCACGAAAAGTACCCCTTTACCAGACATTTTGGTAACACGCATGGGGTCCATCCGTCCTCAGAGTGGGGGGGGGGGGCCGGGGATAAAGTCTCATCACACAAAGATCTAATAATACTGTGACGAATGGTACATGTACAATACTTACAAACTACATCTTGTTATTAAAGGAGACACGATAATGAACATGTGTCAAGTCAACACCAAGTATTTCTAAATAAACATTTCATTCTGCTGGTTCCATCACATTGAAATGATCTTGTACCAACTTTACATTACATGCAACATGTCAAAGATAATTAAGATATATATATATATATATATATATATATATATATAAGACATGAACATTAAAGCAGCTGCTTGATCTTACTGGGAGTACTTTATTTTGTCAAAGTAACAGACAAAATTGATTTTCAAACGATTACTAAAAGGCACTGATCACCTTACAATACTTTTCTCTGCATCTTTGGAGTTTAATTCACATCGCTATATGTATTTAAAATATGAGCTGCAAATTTTACTTCTTATGACGTGATATTGCAAGTCTAAATTGATACTATCAATAAACATTAAAAAATGATTTGTCATATGAGTCAACAGACCTGTATGACTTGTCTGTGCTGGAGGGCTATGGTATTTCTGATTTTCACAAAGCCTCTTGACCATTAACTCACAGAATGCCAGGTAAAGTTTTGATGTTATGCATGATAGCTCAGTGTACACAACCCTTTATAAAAAAAGGTGATTGATAGACTTATACTTGGTGTAAAAGAAATCTAGAAACATGCATACTTTACTTCCTCTACTAGTACCGGGTATCTAAGAAAAATGAGATCAACTGGCTCAAAATGACCAAATATCTCTTAAATTTATCCTTTCTATTCAAGCGTTGTTATTTCATTGGTTTTCAAGAGCTGACAGTTGAAATTCGTAACCAATTTTTACAATCGTTTGAAAATATGCACATGTCAGAGCCATTTACATTCACTAGAAAATAGTTTGTGTCATGTTATGCTGAAGGAATGAGTAATTCTCAAATATACAGTGCTGATCAAAAAAATTGGTACATGGTGGATTTTGAATTGAAATTTTAGTTCAATGTGTATGTCCCATGTAATGAGCTTGTCTGGGCACTGAAAACATTGTTCCAGGTTTGGATACAATATAAAAATCATATTACGGTGATGTTGTACGACAGGTTCAATGATAAAAGACAGACTAGGTCGCTTTGATTAACGACAGGTTCAATCTGTTGTTGATTGGTCACGAATAACTGACTGTACAGATGTAAATGAGGCATGGTCAATATTTCAACATGTTTTTATCTCAAATTTGAATATGATAGCGCCACTGAAACGGATAAGAATAAAACAAAGATCAGAAACTTGGGTGACTAAAGATATTCTTTCCCTAATTCAAGAGAGAAATATAGTATACAAAAAATGGAGGAAAAGAGCAAAAGATGAGAAGCTCTATAAAAGATACAGAGTATTAAGAAATATGGTCCAAAGAGAGGTGAAAAAGGCTAAACTCGATTACTTACAAAACAAGATAGAAGAAAATAAACAAGATTCGAAAAAACTTTGGCAGAATCTAAAAAAGCTTAGGATTGAAAAATAAGAAGCGAAAAGAACAAGAATCTGTCATTAAAATTGATGGGGAATTATGTCATGATAAGATGGCCATCGCTGATGAATTCAATTCTCATTTCACAAATGTGGCTGCCAAATTAGTAGACAAACTCCCCCCTTCCAAAGACTTTTTCAGCGCAGACAATGATTGTATTCGTGACTTTTACGAAAGAAAAGGTGTACGTGAAAACAGCTTCGAGTTATTACCAATCAGTGAACAATTTGTTTTCAAAGAGTTACGTAAGTTGAATGTATCAAAAAGTACTGGGTTAGACTTGATTCCAGCTAAATTTCTAAAAGATGGTGCGAAGGTTTTATTTAAGCCTCTAAGTTACTTAATGAACCTATCTATCTTGACGAGTACTTTTCCAGAAGATATGAAAATAGCAAAAGTGACTCCACTTTATAAAAAGAAAGATAAAACTGATGTTAGCAACTATAGACCTATTAGTGTTTTAAGCGTAGCATCAAAGATTCTAGAAAAATCGGTCTGTGTTCAAATTGAAAGATACTTCAAAGAAAATGATATAATTTATGAATTTCAATCTGGTTTTCGACATGATTATTCGACTGAAACATGTCTAATTCATTTGACTGATTATTTGAGGAGAGAAACTTCCCAAGGACGCTTTGTTGGTATGGTGCTCCTTGATCTGCAAAAAGCTTTTGATACAGTTAATCATTGCGTCTTATTGAAGAAGTTACAACTAATGGGTTTTGATAAGGCAAGTTTAGATTGGTTCAGATCCTACTTATCTAATCGGCACCAAGTAGTGGCCATTCATGATATTCGTTCCAAACTAATGCCTATAACATGCGGTGTTCCTCAGGGAAGTATTTTAGGCCCAATTCTATTTTCAAGTTATATAAATGATATGTGTATTTGTATAAAAGACTTCAAACTATTATTGTACGCAGATGACAGCGTACTACTCTATTCAAATCCTGATCCTAAATATATTGAGGAAAAGCTCAGTGAACAGCTGTCTACGTGTGTCGATTGGATGACTGATAATAAGCTTTCTTTACACTTGGGAAAAACAGAAAGCATTTTATTTTGTTCTAAAAGTAGTTCTAAAAAGTCATTTGAATTCAAAGTGACACACAATAATCAAGCAATCAAGAGAAAAGAGTCTGTGAAGTATTTAGGCATTGAGTTGGCTAGCGCAATTTCATTTTCATCTTTAGTAGAATCAGTTGTAAAAAAAGCAAATTCTCGTCTGAAATTTTTGTACAGATATCAAAGTTGTATGGATTTAAAAGCAAGACGTACACTCTGTTTTGCTCTTATTCAATGTTTATTTGACTATGCTAACCCTGCATGGTACAGTAACATAAACAAGTCAGATCAAAAGAAGTTGAAGATTATACAGAACAAAATGGTGAGATTTATCAACTGTTCTGGTCCAAGAACTCATGTTGGCTATAGCGAACTTTCTAAAGCTGGTTTTCTTGAAGTCGACCAAAGATCAAAACAACTCGCATTGCATCACGTGCATAAAATATATCATACTAGGGCGAATCATTATATTCGATCCAACTTCGATCTTGTTACTGACGTACATGATTATAATACAAGAAATAGACGATTCAACTTTAACTTACCAGAAAGAGTAGGTAGTATTGGAAATTCGTTTTATTACAATGCCATAAAACATTGGAATTCCCTTCCCAATGGTGTAAAAGAAATAGGAAACTATGATCATTTTAAGAGGAAATTAAAGGAATACCTAATACTTGACAGTCAGAGAAGAGAAGTGAATGACATGTTATATGATTGAAATTGTTATTCTTCTGTCGGTTCATACTTTTTCATGTTGTATATACTTATGTTTTCGTACGTTATAGAAATTCTACAAATTCATCATTATTTTCCTCTTCTTCCTTCTCCTCTTTTTCTTCTTCTCCTTCTTCTTTTTCTTCTTGTACTTAATATCATTTCTATCATCAGTTTAATGTTGTTATTATTATCTTTAATAAGTAGTTCTTTTAATTTTCTTATCTGTCTGTAAATATTACTATTTTAATTTATTAATTGTATACATGTCTGTAAGGGACCCCACTGGAAATAAGCTCTCGAGCTTTCGTGGGTTATCCTGTTCAAGCTGACTTATTTTTTTGATCTGTTATTATTGTATATTGTTGTATATTGGAAGCTTGTCGAATAAAAATCAATCAATCAATTGATTGCGCCGGCAGGCTGTTGTCACTAATATCATCAACCTTGTTCATTTCACCAGCAAAACAGTTATCAACGTATCAACATATATCAAAACATACTACCATATATAATATTCACCTAATGTGTGACCATGTACTTTCAGTATATTTGTTCATGCCAAGACAAACAAATGAAGTAGGATATAAACATTGAAGCATAAAGTCATCTCAAATTCCAAGGTGTACCATATCTTTAAACCAGCACTGTACATATACAATGGCATGACCCAGAAACTGGATCTACATGCACACTACAGGTATAAATATTTTAGTACATTTTATGATATCAAACATGTATTTTTTACATTGCACTATGAAATGTGAACAGTAAGTAACACTTTTCAGCTCTAAATATGCCTCACATCCAAAACCAGGAAAAATGTTCCCTTTTTACAAGAATACTACGAAGCCTGTTCTAAATCTATACAAGATAAAAATATAAGGCACAGGTCCCTACTTGAGATATCCTACTGATTCTTGAGAAAAACTTAGTTTTTCAGGCTACCGGTATACATACATGCATTATTTAACCGTGGAACGTATCTACACTTTAAAACATGGTAATGGCAGTATAATATAAATGATAACAAAATATCAAATTTGCAAGATAAGTAGAATTAGATATGGAATTCAACAAGTGTAAATTCTTCCTGACTATGAGGTCTTGACTGGCCGCATGAACAAAATATCAAATTTGTGAGATATGTTCATCTTCAGGTCTGAGAACAAGCAGATCAGGTAAAGTTGGTGTGGAGTCGTGCAACTGGGGGCGTTTCACAAAACTTGTCATCAGTGACAAATGACAGTTTTTGTTATAAGCTTCTGAAATCCTTGCTCCTGATTGGTTATCAACAGATTTGTCACTGATTTTTGTTATTTGTCATTGAAAAAGGCTTTGTGAAATGGGTCCCTGGTCTGACAGCACTCCTTTTCAGTCAATCGAGCCTTTCCTCTGACTAGAAGACATTCAATAACCTACATGTACAATTCAACATTAATACAACTATAATTTAGACTTCATTTATGAAAACTCCTTTTTTCATATTTTCATATCCAATCCATATGTCATTCATCCCAAACTATAATCGTACCCGGGTTGTAAGGTGTACAGTGGCTTCATTACACAAATCACAAAGATGCTTGATCACAAGAATGATGGCATAGTCCTCACTGTCAAGCTGACATCATCAAGCTGACCAATAACTGGTCAGTAGGTCAGTGTTATGCAATTTCTTGGTCAGTCTTTGACCAAGTTAATGTCGGTCTTGTCAGTGTGACTGAGGTATTCATTATCACAGACAAACGCTGAATGTGCGAATGTCAATGGAGTAGTTTTATTCTCGACCGACGCTGAGTGGGCTGATGATGGCTCTCATCCAATCTTCTCTCTCTTCCGGAGTCCTGGCTTCAAAGACATACACCTTGCCCTTCTTGGTCGTCACACTGAAAAGGTTCTGCCGATTCTTGTTCTTCACCGTCACATCTGGACAAGAAAAGCAAAAGTTAAGTTGACAATATCAATTAATCTCTTGTCTGAAGGTGCACTTTACAATGTAGGAACCATACAGTGACTGATATCAAGATTCGGACACAAGTCCTCATTCCATGCTATCTGTAGTTGCAGAGGAGGGTTACCCTACTTTAACTTCCCCTTTAAAAAGATGGATATTCTATTCTTAGTCTTTCTTAATTTTACATTCAATTGATGACAGTGCCTTTTTCTCTGTATAAAGCATGTGTAACGGTATTTAAAAAATTAAAAAAATTAAAAAAAATTATAAAAAAAAAAAATTGTCCCCTCTTAACTCCAGAAATGAGTAGACAAGTACAACCCTTTATTCATCTGATGGCATTCATATGTTACATTCCAATCCATACTAATTCTTACAACCTGTCCTTCTTGGGGTGAGTGTATACACCCCCCCCCCTCCCCCAGTGCACCTTAAAACAGAATAATTGCCCATTGCATATGGTGGTACAGTTTATGAACATATAGTTTATTTAATTTGACACCAATCTTCATCATGTGCCTGAAACAAATCTGTTGATTGGTACATGTACAATCTCAGTACATTGGTCAATTTAAATGATATTGTAAACGTTTGTTGAAACCTAAATCCACTTGTAGTACTTCAGTTTATAATTGTATTTAACAACTTCAAGTATATGGCCATGTTTAAGACGATTGCAATATCATAAACAAATGAGATACTGTAAACCTACTATATAAAACTCTCAACACCAGAAAATACTTGTACTTCTTTTTTTATAGTTTGCTTATTTTGTTTATATTTTTTTTCTTTCCAAGGTGGTTACCTGATTTTTCTCTTGCTTCTTGCACACCAACGGTACACTTGTGCAGAGGAATCTCACCTAGTGGTTTTTCATCCCCTGCCTGTAAAAGAATCGAAAGCACAGAAATGATCAAATCAAAGAGAAAACAAATGTCATTGATATACAAACTAATCACAGTATTATAGCTACATGGACATGAACTTTCTTTTTTTCAATTGAAAAAATAGCAGTTTAAAGAAAACCATCCATAATTAGAGGCTTAAAGTTAAAGACCAGTTTTGGAAACGCCCCACTCTCAAAAATTGAAATGGAAGCTCATATTACCAATCATGTGAAAGAATATGTTTTGACTAATACATGATACAAATTTTGAAGAGAAACTGCCTACTAATTTATATATTTGGTAAATTATTATATCTATTTGGACCTGATAGATATCGCGCACGTGTCGCGTAGTCCCATATTCATCTTTCCGTGTACAGTGCTTGTAACTTTACCAAGACTGGGCCAAATTTCTCATCATTTTGATGATTCCAGAACCTTACAGTACACACCAATACTTATATGCTAGATGATCAACCTTTCTGATCGATTCCACAATGTTTCTTTCACAATACAATCTCATGACCATAAATGGTCTATATCTTTAATAATATGATTCTAAGGACGCAACAATTGCGTTAAGAAACAGATACATAAACTAAATCATATCATTAGGGTCTATTATCATTCCGCTTTAAAATTACAATGATATTGATCAAATCATCATGACCATTCCTTTCTTTCTACTATTGTAATTTATTTATCTAAAAGTTAAAACAAAAAGATTGATCATACCTTAGAACCCCTGTAATACTGTAGGTAAGAAGGATCATCCCACAGTACAAACAGTCTTGCTTTCCAGGTGTGTCTTACATGCCCCTGAAACAAAGAAAATACAATGACACACAGGTAATTTAATTACATTTCAAACATTTATATCAGAATTGTGATAATTAAAATCTAAAGGTGGATTGTTCAGTTTTTTAATTTGATCATCAATCTATTTTTAAAACACTTGAAGAGAAATTAAGTTTAAAGCAAACTGATTCCTATCTAGTGTATCAAAATATAAATTGAATCTTTTCCTTGTCATCTAAATGCATAAAAACATTACAGAGACAAATGGCCGTAATTTCCAAATTTCTAAAAATTGTGAGAATATATGTTTTGTATATTTCTTTGAGCTGATTTAACTATAGCCCCAAGAATGAAAAAAAGTTCACTTTTGAAAAATATGGCCTACTAGAATTCTATGTTTTGCAGTATTTCTGAAAGATAGAAGGACCGTTTCTATTTCGGAGCCCTAAAGCAGAGAGCACTTAATTCCAAAACCTTTCAAGGGCTCATAAATATATAAACTTAAACCTACTACTGGTTCTTTCACTATCTTCATATAACAGTGTAGCCTGAATTATACAATTGTGTAAATGAACTTGTATATTACAAATTGATTGATAAAAACCAAAAGAACCAATAATCTCACACCAGTTAAATGAAAAGAAAAACAAATTATTTAGTGTTAGTTAAAAATTAATTAAGTTATACAAATGTTATGAAAAAGTTAACATGTGTCATATACCCTTTTTAGTAGGAATCCTTGTTTGACTATCTTGCCTCCATGCCCTTTGAGTGGTTTGATTGGCAGTTCTTCTCTCCCCTTCCTAGGTAACCTCTCATCTGCATCCGAGTCGCTGCTTGATGAATCACTACTGTCTAAAACATTCTTCAAATTGGACATGTTGAGTGATGACTGTAATTGAATCAAAGTAAGAGAAAATATTGCAGGATATCATATGATGAATCATTAAAAAAAAAAAAACTTTATCAAATCATAAACAATTACCGGTAATAACAACTGGCAAGCTTGAAAACAAAACAACTATGTCAGCAATACTGTATTCAGTGTTTTTTTAGATATTTTTTCTTTCATTGTTGGACTATATGAAATAAACACCCTTGTAGTACTAAAACTCTGCATTGTGCTGTAAAAAGAGGCTTTTAAAAGCTTTATCTTCAAACACTGGTTTGGAACTATAAAATACATTTTTCTGTTCTGGATGAATTTACTTTGAGATGATAGACCTCTACAATTCAATTCAAATTTTATTTTTATCATCCATCAAGAATAAACACAAAAATATATAAACAATATTGAAAAAATGAACATAAAATAACAATACATAAAAGGATACCTCAAAAAATGCGAAAAGATACCTAAAAAAAGGCGAAAGGATACCTCAAAAAAGGCGAAAAGATACCGGTACCTAAAAAAAAGGCGAAAAGATACAGGTACCTAAAAAAAGGCGAAAGAATACCTTAAAATAGGCACAAGGCTAGCAACATGAAGGCATCAGAACAAATGGAATGTTTGGAATGTAGAATACTACATAAACAAGAACCACCTCATACAATCACATCTTTTAATGTAGAAAGTACATTGAATAAGGAACCAAGATACTCACAAATCTATAGAGGGCCTCCTCATCATCAAGAAATGCTTTCCGACGAGCAGTGTTATCTAATGTGCAGGTCATCGGCTGTATTAGGGCCTGAGAAAGTAACTTTGTCCCTATCTCTATACCCTTCTCTCGAGTTTCGGCAAAGGACCAGTCTATAAGCCACATAATCATTTGAATACCTGTAAATTAGGCAATGAAAAATTAATTGGATTGTAATTACCGGTACAATAACTTAATCATTTAATTGTACATGAATTAATGAAAAAATGACAAAAAAAGAAAGAAACAGGTAGAGATCTGCTTTGATGGTTTTTATAAGTGCATGTAATGGGTTCCACTTAAAAGCAATGTGTTCTGCTAAAGTCTAAAATTAGAATAAAAATTCTTTATTAAAATGTGTTAAAAAGTCTTTTTCATGAATCAACAGATATTTTGAACGTGACCAAAAGTTTAACAGAAAATTCATTAATAACAAGTAAGAAATAATACCTAAAATACCGGAAAGAAAATATTTCAGAAGAAATTTCTCTCGTTGACTTTGCTCCACTCATTACGATTTCTTGGTAAGAAAAAGGGAATTGACTATATGTTGAAGCCGTTAAAGAATTCACATAGGATGACAATAAAGCCGGGTATAATTAAGTACCACTAAGCATTTTTAGAAAAACATCAATACAATGCAATTGCAAGTTACTTTAACACCAAACTGAAATGTTGAATAAATACTGATGTTCAAAATACTCTTGTCACAATAACTTAGCACATCATACAGAATCAACATAAACTACACAATTTTAATTGGGTTGAAAATTGTTCTAACAATAATTATAGTCAAAACTTGATTTTTTAATGCAATGCCAAATAGAATTGACAAAAATATTTGTATAATCATACTATTACTAATTACTCTTATCATTATCATCCACAATTAAAGGGATTTATCCAATGATAATACTGATGACTCAATGAAATTGTTTTAAAAAATGCCATCTTTATTTCCTGCTATTCATCCCTACCTGTAAAGCAGTCTTTGTATACTGTGCTCTCATCCACCTTGTGTTTCCCTCTAACAATGCCTGCATCAGGATCCTTCATTGCTTCTACCAACTCACTGAAAATAACAAGCAAATATATGAGTCATTCATGATCAATACCCTGTGCATTCCTCTAACAATACCTGCGTCAGAGTCCTTCATCCTTTCCACCAACTCACTGAACATATACATGTATGTACAAGCAAATATGAGGATCAACATGAGTCATATTTATACAGGCTGAATCATTATTAAACTGTACAGGTATAATACCGGTATGCATATATCCATGTTCCAATATATACCATCAAAAGGTGATTATTAGTTCTATTACAGATTCACAAGATATAAAATAGAGACCGAAGTGTGAACATATTGAGCCTGAGGGCATCAGACAGATATCTATACTAGAAACTTCTCCACCATTTTCTTTATAATAGAACACTTTACACAGGGACAATAAGAGATTAAACACAGATCAAATATACATTTATAAGCAGAAAAGAATAAAGTGTGATTTTAATAGCTAAGTGAACCTGCATTAATAAAACTAACATCTAAGCAGCTACATATATATTTTCAAATATCATAAAGATACATGTACATACAAAGAACGTATGGTCGAGGTGAAATGCTATTTGATTTTGCAACCATTTCAAAATCTTAAACCTGCAGATATGCATACATTACACAATTAGCCCATCTTTCTTTTTCATAATGTCTTTAACTTTTATTTATGGCAAGTTAATTCAGTTTCCAATAAATAATAGTTTCTTAATATCTTTCTTTTTCATAATGTATATGTAAATTCTATTTAAGCAAGTTAAGTAATTTTCCAATACCGGTAGATAATAGTTTTTTAATAATCATAAAAAATGAAACAAATTTGACCATCCTTTTTGTCTAATTCATCATTATCTAAAGGTACATATAGTATTCTTCATAATTCAAGAAATGTACATCTAGTCCTAATAATGTCTTTGACAGCTTTTGTTCCTTGCCAATAAACATGTACCTATACTAAAACAGCTCTCAAAGTTCTTTAATTTACAAGATTTCTAGCTTTACATGGCAAAGAGTAGCAGCAATATCACACTGAATTGTTTCTTTCAGACTACTCTGGTTTATGTTTTTTTTTTTAAAGAGTGGTTCAATTGTACCTAAATATATCTGAACTTTTTAAAAAAGTTCCAGCAATGCATAATCTTTTATAGGAGCAAATTAGATTAAAATTTCTTGATTTTTTTGCATGATCATTAACTTTAATAGATATTGTAAGAAAATATTTCACAAACTGTTATCTTCATGTTCAAAGCATTTTGATGGAAATCTTGTCACGGCCACCAAAAATGTTTGTAGATCCTTTAAAATCAGATTGTGGCCTTTGTTACAAATTAAAGCAAAATCAGCATGAGTTGGATTACATTGTCAGTCCCTATAATGTCAATTTGCTAAAGAATATATAGTATGATGGATTGCAATTTGAACAATGAATGAACTTTAATACTCATGTAATGATTCTATGACCTTTGCACCATACTGGCATACAAAATTCTTTAAAACCCATTAATTTGACTGAATTTACACGGCTTCACACTAAAGCAACAAACACATCAGTTTGTTTTGATGATAGGTGTTTGCCGTTTCTTGTATCCTGAAATACATTATAATGAAACTAATGTGGATCTATTTTCAAAGAAGGCAGGAAATGTTTTATAATTCAAACAATTTGAATAGATGATGAATACTGATTTAATAAGTACCCATGCAGGTAAACTTTCAAAAATACTTATTTAGAGATCATTTGTGCTTTTTCCTTTAATTCCGTACAGCATGTGTATGAAAAAAGGTCCTGAAGCTACGTGAATGAGCATTCTAAAAGTGAATTCAAAGATATTTTGTTTACAACAAACATGGTCATTTTAAACATTTGTTTGGATCCATATCACAGAAGCGTAAGAATAGTCCTTGATTTCTAGAACGTTAATGTTTTGCCGATCTTTTGATTTTCAATATTTTACCTTTAATTTGTTGTTAAATTTTTTTCTTTAAGGGATCCTCATTACCAATGGCCAAAGCCCGCCATTTTGCCCCCCCCCCCTTTATATTTCCTTGTTATTCCTCTTTATTGATCTAAATGTACATTCCTTTTTCTTCTTTGTATCTAGTACCCCCTTATCATTATTATCCTAATCTTGAATTATTCTTTGCATGATATTTTAGTTTGTTTTCTTGGCCATTTCTGTGAGTGATTTTTGTTGTCTCTTTCATGTTTAATACATATAAATGTTATACCTCTGCATCAATTACTTTTCATTTCCCATCACTCAATATTTCCTTATTATCTTAGCTTGAGTGCAATATTATCTACTTTCTTTTCATTTTAGATAGGCTCATGCCATTTGAATGGCATGAGTTCTTCAAGAGTTCTTTATGATCCACTTAATACCTTTCTCTTTTTTTTGAAGAAGAATATGTTTTAAATGATCAAATATCCTTCATAAGTAAGCGATCAAATTGTTTCTCTTGTCAACACTTATGTAAACTGTCCGTATTGCAAAAAGTAAATACTGAAATGTAGCAGTTGACAACTATAAGTAAATTAATTAAAGGGCATTAAAGATTCAAAATACTGTAACACATGTACCATACATTGATTTTAGTAAGAAAAAGGTGTTTCTTTAAACTAAGAGCTACCTGGGAAAATAGAAACCACATTTTCATAATACTTTGTTATACATTACAATGTAACTACCCTCAACCAGAAAGTATTTAAAACATACACAACATTTTAGACACAGTCAATTGCATTAATTACCAGGGGCCATATTCTGGAAATGATGCTAACTTTTATTTCAAGTTGAGAAATTGTCATAACAAACTAAAATCGCAAGGAACGATAATGTTTACCATATTGGTGCTTGTTTGCGTGAAAGCCTCTTAAATTCATGCGAATGCATGCCGCCAGCTTTGCGCAAACATTAACCAATGACTTGTCGGATGTGTAAATAGCTATTAAAATGTTATAATATTATATTAATCCAAAGAGACAAAGCACATGTATATCAATTGGGATAAAACCAATTGAAAAAAAGCACATACCGTATACATGTACAATGAAAATAATGCACATTGTCTCTATGGCCTTGAAAGTTTGTGTGAATTGTGATATGGGCATGTTTTAATCACCTCGGCATTTACTGATCTACAACAATAGGACCCTGATTTACTTCCTTGTACGTCACTACTCTTTCATGGTGAACATTTGTCCACGTAATGAAAGTTCAGCTTTTATTGTATTGCATCACATTTAAAATTGGCTCATTAGAGTGTGTCGATAAATGCATAATTGTCAAGCGTAAATTCTCACAGTATAGCCCACTGATTTTTTTTTCTTCATTCTATGAAATTGCAAATGTTTCAACAACAAAAAAGAATTTATATTATGTGCTAGAGTTTTATAAAAGCAACTTATTTTATTCTTATTATATAATTCAACCTTAAATAATAGTTACCAAAAAAAGCAGTGGAATGCATTATTTCAAGAATCTTGTATAAAAAATAACTTGTGTCTCAACTTCAAATGATGAATGATTTCATAAAACTTTTCAATATACATTTTTGTTTTAATTTTAAATTCAAACAGAAAGCCTCAGATGATATTCATTGGGTCACCATTAAATTGCTTTAAAAGCTTAATTACATGACCATAAATATGTGAACCATTTTGCAAGACATAATTCACTAAGGTCACATCACAAGGTGATATAACTTGTAATGTATGCCCTGGTTTGGTCAAACAGACAGGATCCCATCATATCCTGTGATACAATTAAGGTCATTTTCTCTTGCTTTTTATACAAAAGAGCTCTGTTGAAAATTGTTTCCTGGTATCTAAAAAGCATTTTGAATAAAACAAAGTATTTATGGCTTCCACAGGTGTACTGGTATATGAATGTTTTTTCTTTCCTTCTACTTCTTCCTCCTTCTTTATCTGGAGACTTATTTGGAGAAATTACAGGATAGGAATATTCTGAACCAGCGAGTGTTCAATTCTCAATTTAATTACAATAAAACGGGCCAACTAATCATGTAGAAACAATACATGTTATTAACCTCACATTAAGTACAGTTTGTCAACTTTGTCACGGTGTCTGGCAACATCAAGGTTTACTAAATACCCCTCTGTCTATATTGACCTGATGGCCACTCTTTTTTTCTTCATTTCATATATTCCTATATCCTTCACTAGTAGTTATTATAACAGTTTTTGCTGAGGCAAGCTGGTTCTCAGAAATTTTGTTTTTGAGTGATACACTACTGCTTCCACTACATATATGGTGTTTTCAATCTAATGAAGACTAAGAAAGAGATACCTCGAGATGAAATACAGTGAAACCTGTCTATAAAGACAGCATGTCATCTTTCCCTTGAACCAATTTCCCATTGAAACCTGCACTAAAGCAATCCATGTTACAAGAAAAATCTGTCTGTTAAGCCAACTTTTGCTCTTTTCTCCCTTGAGCAGTCTTTATGTACAGGTTTCACTGCATAAATAGAGTGATATAACATCGTCTCTAAACATGCAGGTTAATGACCTCTCTACCTCTTCAAAAATTAGGTACTTTCATCTCAATGGTTAGAAGCCAAATGTGTAGAACTCCACTAATGTGTAATCAATCTGTCATGGTCTTCTTTTTTGCACCATGCACTAATGTGATCTGATTTAAATTTAGACTTTGGAAGAATGGCATTAACATACGGTAAGCAAAGTAATGTGAAGCTAAATAATATTGATTCTTAGTTTCTTGTCCTGATTTTTTTTCAATAGGAGCGGTTCCAATTCCATGTTATTTGATATTTGATAGCTTTCCTGTCACATGAAAAAAACACTTTCTTATTCTGATTGAATTTCTACATGGAATTAAGAATCTTAGACCTCAAAACAAAGTACAAATACATTATATTTAGGAGTTTTGTTACCCTTTAGTCTATGTCTTCAGATTTTATTCATTTCACTGAGGAATTAAAATAACAAAAACATGAGGGGGACCCCAAAAAAACTTTAAAAGGAAAGAACTCCCTTATTCTGCTTTCATTTCTCCATGGATTTAGAGGCTTAAACCTCAAAAACAAGTATTTAAAAAAAAAAAAATATATATATATATACATGTACATGAGTTGTGTTACCCCCATAATCTTATTGTCCTGTGGTTATATTAAAAAAATAACAAACAAAATTGAGGTGGACCAACAACAAAATAGACTAGGGATACATTTCATGGGAGCTAACAATTAAATGCTTACTTACTGATAGTTTATTTTGCTGTGTGGTGATGTGGGATGCACCTCTTCTTTGGATCGATCACACTCAACAATGGCTAAACCGATGGCTTTGGCCCAGGCTTCTCTCTCTTCATCTGTTGAGGCTTGCATTATAAGCTCATGCCTATCTTGATTCATCATCATAAATGCAAACTACAATACACATATAGAAAAAAACAATAACATTATCTTTAAAGCCCATTTGATTCAGTATTTGAATGTAATAAAATAAAGAAAAGATAGTACATTCAAATTTCAATTGATTATTATGGTTGCAAGGTGGGGGGAGGTGAAAACATCTCTGACATTTAAGCAACAAATAACACAAAATAACTATTTGTTCTTATTGTGTTTTTCAGATTATTACATTTTGCTATGAAAATACCCCCCCCCCCAAAAAAAAAAAAAAAAAAAAAAAAAAATCGATTGAACAGACAATATAAAGTATATATCATAAAGCTCAAAAGTGAACAAAAAAAGTATTCAGGTAACTGAGAAAGTCATCAAATTATAATAGTAATACTACAGTACCTGATAAAATAGTCTGCATTAAATAGTACCGGTATTATATAGCACCTAAGTAGATCCTTGTCATTTGATTGGAGGATTGTTGGTCATATACTATTGCACGAGTGTGCGTTTTGGGTTATATTCCGTGCATTTTTGGTTATATGCGTACCTCTCTGCCTTGCACGTATATCACATTTTATTTTCATTGTCTATTAGATGCGTGCCGAAGCGATTAAGGCAATCTGAATGTAATCAAGAAGGCCTAGCTGACTCTAAATTTAATTTATCATTAATATAAGGAGCAATTAAAGCATAAATCGTTCTATTAGATCTACTTAGATGTTATATAAAACAAATAATCAATGTTTTTCCTTAATTCAATAGTGCGAATATTTTAATTCTTTGAAAGATTAACGTTCTATTCAATTCGGCTGACGCCTCGTTGAATAGAACGTTATCTGTCAACTCAGGAAATATTTGCACTATTGAACTCATAACCATTCATTATTTGTATACTGTTTTATACCTTTTGATATAGGCAACTTTTAAAAATAAGGAACGAAGTTAAAGTTTTGGCCAACTAGGACATGGAATATTACTCACTCCTTTCTTATTTGCATATTGCAGGCAAGGTGAGATGACGGAGCATCCTCGTAGTTCAATGACCCCTGCAGGAAGGCTATCTGTCGTCTGTTTATAGTATGCTAAGGAATCCTCAGTTAAAACAAACCATCTTGTCCTCCAGTTTGTCCTTTTATGACCCTGAAAAGTAGGAGAAGTTGTATATTAATTTGTACAACACTTACTATCATGACACAATTAATGCATACATTTTAAGCTGAATGCAGAAACCAGCCAAATTAAGGCAAAACTTAAGTATGATTTGTCATATGAAATACTACTACTAACTTTATGGAGAAAAAAAGATGCACCAAAATATGGAACAGAATTATTGAACAATGTGCTTCATTAAACAGGCAGTGTGTCGGGATCATGATTCTTCAAAGCTAATTCTTACCTTCTTTACGAGAAAACCATCCTTTAAAATCTTTTGACCGGCACTCATGCTGAACAAAAAGTAGTTGCTTTGTATATGTTCGGAGGTTTTATTGAGACTCTATATTGGCTGAGCTGATGAGTAGATCAAGTACGGACAGAGCACCTGCGATCACCGGAAAAGTGCCGGGGTGAGTTCCACCAACACTCCGCTCCTGAATTGGATCGTCTGCTAGCAATGTAGAAGTGTAAAGATCGACGAAATTTCGCCAACAAAAAATAATTTTAGTTTCAAAGTTTTTATACTGATCCTTGAAGTAGGAACTCAAGCTTGAGTTGCAGTTGCTAGCTATCTCAGTCATAACAGAAACTGAGATTTATTGAAAGGATAAAATACCAGTCGGGAAGGAAGTGTTTTTCTCAAATCAGAAGTCTGCATGCCGTAATCAGCTGTGTAAATGCATTGGAGGAGAACGAACTTCCGCGTTCAATCTAAACAAATTTTACGAGGAAGAAAAGAGTGACTGTGTGCTGTCGACCGGTGTCGAATCAGCTGTTTTTATTGGCTCGACTGTAATAACGTTTTGGAATTGTTAATATCGGTACATTGTGCATTCAGACACTCAATAATAACTCATGCTCACTGGGATGGCTCTTGTGCATGCGTGATACCACGACTGGGTATATAGCAAAAGTGAGAGTAATAATGTCTGAATTATTGTCCCTTTTCCTTCATGGTGCAGGATTGTGAAACTAAGATAAGGATCCAAGAACAATATGAGCTAGTACATCAATTAAATAATGAATATGAAAGAAATTTGATAATTAAACTCAAGAAGTTAGTAGGCTCAGTAAAGCATTCAATTCATCCTAAAATAACCTACATAACTATAGATAAATCACTTTTATTGCAGCATAGCAATCAAAGTACATGAAGAGCCTTCCTTTGTTTTAATTTATATACAAGGAATGATTAAAAATATACATTAGTTGTGGTAAGGCCAATGCTTTATGGTTTTACTACCAGAAATATTCGAGGAAATTAGGGAAATTGAAGTGGCTAATAAGGTTCACTCACAATCAAATGAAAAAGATGTTCTGGACTCTAGCCCAGCTGATGCAGATGAAAATCTTGATTCTTTGAGCATTCTGTATTTTATTTATTGAATCTAAATGCTCTAACTTTATTTGGTTGTGCTTGAATGATCTCTTAATTCTTTAATGTGCTGCATTAACTATCACAAGGATAATTATCCTCTTATAATTTTTTCAGCAACACATAATCCCGCTCCTCTCTCCCTCTCTACTTCTCTTCCTCCCCCTCTCTCCCTCTCTCTCTCCCTCTCTCTCTCTCTCTCTCTCTCTCTCTCATTTCTCACTTGTTCCTTTCTCCCTCTTTCTTTCCTCCTACCTTCTTTTCTCTTAGTGCTCATTTTTCCTGTCTCTTTATAATTCAAATTAAAGATTAGATCTACTCTATTCTGATGATAAAATTACATTGTAACTGTAATAAACTCACCCCTGTAACAAATTTTGCTACTTGCCTAGGGAATGTACGTATAAACTGGAAAGTTGATATTTGGACAAAAGGCAATAGCAACACCGATGAAATAGTACCTATGTTGATGTTTGACACATTCCATCAATAGCTACACCAGCGAATGAATTATGTTCTCTTCACAAAAATGATGCATGATACTTACAACAACAAAAAACAGGAAAATGAAGACAAGGTCAGTCTATTACCAGTTCTATTTTCTCTCACTTCATTGGAATTTATTAGGCAAGTTCTATTACTGAATAAGCCTATACTTTATACATACAGGTAGATACAAAACAATAATATTTACCAATAGTTTTGAGTGGTTGATCAAATGACTACTTTATATATATTTCCCATTCTATTGATGCACCACAGTTAAATACTCCATTCTGAATTATTGGTACAAAGAATTTGCGTTTGTCATAGCAGATCGAGTCACCATGTCTGAGACCTATTGCATGCATGCTCTGTCACATTATTTGGTGTGAGAAAGAGAAGACTTACCACGGGACTCTTACATCATGTGCATAATAGAATCATATCCTTCCAAACAATTTGTATAGTTACAAAGATATAATTTACCAAATCCTGCACATGCTCAACATATCTCAGAATGGTCGATTGAATGATTACACTCAGAATATTATCAATATCATAATTCATTCTGGTATTCTTATTCTCCTTCTCTGGTTTCCTCTCATACCCACTTTCTCTCTATCGCTCATCCTCTTTATTACTTTGTTACTTTTGTGTGAATTAGGATGGTACACATATATATGATGTATTTACAATAATTGCAGCTGATAAAGGTACCAACAGAAACAAAGAAAATCAAGAATCGTGAATCCAAGTGTATACCCCATTGTACCTGAATTCAAGTTCTCTTTACTATTTTTTATCACATTTTTCAGTCTTTTCTTAACAAAAGAAACAATATACAATTGCATGGCAAAATAGAATGTATAAAGTATATACATACACTTTTGGAGGAATACATGTTAAAATAGTATTTATTTTCTATCCTCTGATATGATAAAACCATACTATACACTCTGTACATTCGGGAGAAAAAATGAATAGTTCTTTCTCAGCAACATTAATATAAAATCACTATTTCTACTTTATATAAATTGAATCAACAAAATCTTGTCGATAATTAAATTGTTTTCAATTTTTCAAATAGAATAAATCACTTTCTTTTAGGTTTCATTCAAAATGCTTGGCCTATTCATACTATTTGTGAAGTAGATAATGGACTCCATTCCAAATACATCATTCCTGTACATTAACAAAACACAGGTAGTTCATGGGTGACATTCTTTGACAACTATTAAATGGTAGATAGACTATTCAAATATTAAAGATCAGCTGTTTAAAGAAAAAACCCAGAAAAAACAGACCCTTGCTTTGGCACTTATGTATGCACACACTAAATAAGATAGCCCAACAAGTCAACAAAATTATTGGAAGGTGGCACAGAGCCCTATGTCCCCCCCCCCCCCCACCCCCAAAAAAGGGGGGAACAAAAATATTTAAAATGATTTCTTATCATTGGTGTGTTTATATATGACCTTATATGTTAAGTGGAAACAAAAGGAAATCTACATGAAGAGCATGATTCGTAAATTGCTTGACTAAAGTCCTTATATCTTTCATCAAACATACATTCAAAATCACACTATGCATGATTGCTTCAGCATAAATATATTACTATGAAGTCCACTTAAAGGCTAATACAGTTGCTTTTTGTTTCATTCTGGAAAATATGGTTCTGGTAAAATAGACTTTCTGATCCAAGTACTTCTGATCCAAAAGCTTCCAACACACAAAATGTGTATAGGAGCCAACACATATTTTGATAGCCCAATCAGCCTTCCTTTTCCCTTCTATCTATTATTCAGCTTTTTTTCTTCTCATTTCTCTTGAATTTGCTTGGTATTTACTATTCTATTTATAGCCTTTGACATTCATGGTCAATTTCTGAAAATTCTTGTATTTTGTATTTTTATCAGAACTCAAAAATAACTTCAAGCATGTTTAAGGCAAAAATAGTGACATTGTAATATAAACAGATTGTCCATAAATAAATCAGGAGGGTCTCCAACAACAATTGTATATGTGTGGTCTTATATATTTTGTTATAAAAGAAATTCAGCAGGCTCAGAGCTAAGAAAAAAAAAACATGGCCTGTTTCTTATGACATTGCAGGAAAAATGGTGCAGTTCAGGAAAAATAGTGCAGTTAAGGAAACCAAATAGCAAGTCTACCGGAATCTATCTAGTATAGAAACTTGATGATGCTAAATTCAGTGTGATGTATGTCTGTGAATGTGAGGTGATCCACCCTAACACTCACTTTGTCCCTTGATGGAACAAAGTTAAAATGGTAGGGAAGGAATTATAGATTGAATGGTACGTAGGGCAGAAGTAAGCTGGAAGGCTCATTATATGAAACATGTAGATTGATTTAATTCATTCTCGAAGAAACCTTTATAAATAAAGCATTCTACTATAATCAACATTAATAATCAATGCTCTTTCAATAATGCCCTCCTTTACCCATTTTATTCTAACATTTCATGTTTTTCTCTCTCTCTTCCCCTTTCTCTTCCTGTGCTCCCTTCTAGAAAGACATTTTGACAAGAACAAAAACCAGTAACTATTACTTGTTATCTTTCATGAAACATTAAGCTACAACAAAGAGTAACATGCATAAGCTGACGGGTACAAATATACATCACAAAAGAGATTTAGATGCTCACCGCATTATATCTCTTTGGTGTATCAGGTTGAGAAATCATACGTTCAAAAGCCAAGTGGTAAGAGAGAAGGGAAGAGGGAGAGAGAGATGGAGAGGGAGAGAGAGATGGAGAGAGAGAGGGAGGGAGATACTTAGAGAGAGAGAGAGGGAGAAAAGAGGAAAGGGGGAGAGAGAGAGAGGGAGGAAAGGAGGAAGAGACTTAGAGAGAGAGAGGGAGAAAAGGGGGAAAGGGGGGAACAGAGTGAGAGAAACAGACAGAAAGATAGACACAGAGCAAGAGAGAGAGAGAGAGAAGAGCAAAATATTCAAGATATAGCCATGATATCTATATATTGCATCAAAAAACACATCCTATGTAAAGCTTATATATAATTGTTGTGACAATCATGCAACTTGTAAAAAACCTGTTTGTACTTCCTGAGATGATTTTAAAGGGTCTGTTATTCTTTCAACACCAGACTCCTACACCACAGAACCATTCACATAAATGTTTTCGTTACGGTACATCCTTTTCCAGAAAAAAAATCCACATGCAACATCAGACAGAGAAGGAGCATCTAAATCATGTCTTACAACTAATAACATTGGCACTTTATGATCAAATGCAATGAAATTATTGCTTCCAATCTGTATTCTGTTTTGCGTATTGACTTTCAACAAAGGATAAAACCTTGAAGAGGTGACTTTATGTAAAGCTTGCAATATTCTTCAATGTATGGCTTGATAGTGGTGAGATAGTACTTTACTGAATGCAATATTTAATTACATTGACAATAGCAAAACAAGAAGAAGAAAAAAAGGACAACCCGATTGAACTTGCTTACAGCCCTGCTGAAGTATAAAGATTGGAATGTTGTGACTGCAAAAGATCAAACTATTTTAAACTTTTGTGCTATTTTGCAAAATGTCAAATTCTGACGATGAGCGCATGTAATCTTATAGACTGAACACCATTTCATACTCATTTATTTGATAACTTAAATGGGAGATAATATCACAGACTAAATTAATTAAGGGGAAATTGTAAGTAGTATTGAAAAGAAGTTACTTGCAGATAACCAACAACCATATTGTGTTTGTTGTGATACATGTATAGGATTAAGATGCTTTTTAAACTTTTTAATAAAAACAACACTTTTTTCAAAATTTTTCATCAAAAATCATTTTGCTATTGTGTACAATTCTGTTCTGATAGTTGGTCTTATATCTTATACAACAGTATTAATCAATTTGTTAAAGAAATATAGGATATTGAATCAATCAGACATTACATTTTATTATATATAGAAATAAAAGTCCCAATTCTGTTTAGCAAGAAATGTAAATTATCAATTGCCAGCCAATGAAACATTATTAATTCTGTTGGGTTCCTTCCAAGCTGGTACGAGATATAATCACGGTGAATCAGGTCAAGACAAGAATGAGATTGACAGTTTCTGAGGTGTTCTTAACAACAATAAAAGGTGCATGGACGTGAAATAACTACATTACCGGTAAATAGTATTACATGGGACTAAAGCAAACTAAACAGAAGTCTCTTACTCTGAGAGATGATACATTACAAACAAGAAAAATGTCCTACATACAAGTTAATACGGTGATACTTTTCTGTGACAGCTGCATTTCTATAAAGGACTAGCTTGATTCAATGGGAGGTTTCTACTCCTCCACTGGGAGGGTACAAGACGTGCAAATCATATTCAAAAAGCAATCACCCGTTTGGCACGACAGAACAAAGTGAAGAAACAAAAAAGATGTACTATTATGACTTGGCAAGGTAAAGACAGCAGACATGAACATCATGTCTACCAAACTATTGATTGCTACGCTACGAGTCAGATAATAAATAAACAAGCTGATAGCAGAGTGGAGAATGTGCATACACTCTGTGCGGGCCGGGCAAGCCTGAATCATAAGACTGGGGTATTAAGCGTTTTAACCATAAGGTCAGGAATATTTTCAGAAAACAAGTTGAATAAGAAAGAAAATAAAAATTGAAAAATATATAGGACATGATCCCCCCCCCCCCCCCCAAAGAATGATGCAGACCCTATGTACAGTATTCATAATTCATAATGAAATAAATAGAACAAAATAAGGTCATAACAGGGGGGAGGCATATGTCAATATGTTTTCTTTTTCTTTCTATTATTGTTCACAAAGATGTTCCTATGGGCCCTATTTGACAGAACAAGTAAAGTGAGATTCCGATGTATAGATTAACGCAAATAAGATTCAGCATCCAAGCTTATTCTTTGGTATGTTCTATGCTAAAAGACAGTTTTATGCAAGCCACAGTTTAGAGTTAAAGAAATTAGCAGTCTTTTGTCATATTCTAATACTATCTCACAGCATAAGAGTAGACCTCAATTTAAAATCAGTTTTAGATAATGATGGGGAAATTTTGGGGAGAAAAGAAAAATCAAATAAATAAGCTCTTCAAATGTATGGTGAAGTGAAAGCAATGGTGCTGAAGTAACATAAACTTACAAGAAGGACCACAATTCTGTAAAAAGAACAAGCAGAAATTGATATATTGTGGGGGAAAAAGTGTATAATATATATTGTACCCAAGGTTCCTATGAACCTTAACGAACAACAACAACAACTAAGACTGTCATTATTTTAAATCTATATTTCATTAAATAGCAAGGTGGTTATGGTATCTCTCAAATCCCAATAATATGCGATTTGCTACTGAATGGTTTGGCAAAACCTAATAACTACATTATACCATATGACTATATTTAAGTAGACTAATACAAAAAGCTGAATAAATAAGGCAGAATAAATTAATTCGGTTATGAAACAAAAATATGGCAGCAGGAAGGTTGTAAGCAACATGGATTTGTTGTAGCATAGCTTGGCAGAAACTTGTAAGCCATATATGGCCATATGGAGAGTGTAGAGACATGGACACATACAACAACCCTTCTTTGGAAATCATTCTACCAATTTTAAGCTACTTTTACAAAACATGCTGAGTGCAAAGCAACAAATATCCTCCTCAAGCCTTGCTTTAAACCTGATTATCTGTTAAATACATTGCTATCTTAATTACCACGGCATGATATAGCCATTAAGTTCACTTCACTTCATAGCTGAATATAGTCTCTTTTTTAAACCTCTCTACAGCACATATCACATAGCACAAGTCATAATCGATGGTCTGAAAACTGACATAATATTACATCTCCATGACATGACATAAAATTTGAATATAATCAACATTCAAAGCTTTCTGTCTGCAAGTCAAACCTCACAATGATCAATGGTTCTCTCCTCAATTCACAGAGATTTCATGAAAAATTGCACTTAGTAAATAAAAATAAAAAACAGGAGAGAAGCTCTGACCTTTTCTCTTCGTGTTTGCGTCAATAATTGCATATTCCTCCCAGGCACCTATATTGATGAGATTTAAATAGTTTATTGTTGATTCCATTCATATTAATCCATCGTAATAGTCACCACTTGGTGATGTATGTAAAGGAATCTGCAGAAAATTGGCTACAAACCGCTCTCATTAATCCAATAATCAACAGTAAATATACCAAAGAAACTTGACTAGGTTCTTTTGGCATACCTATAAACATAGCTTGCATCTTGAATGTTGTCAAAGACATTTATTGTTCTTTGATGAAGTATGGCTTGATACTTGTTTCCCGCAGACTCCAAACATCCAAGGATCTTCTTAATTCATCTCATTTAAACAGACACAAATCAACATGTTCAGGTATTTAATCTTGCATCAGATATGAAAGTGTTCTTTTAATACCAGTATTCAGGGGGACTGCACTGAAAGCCCATTTGATACAAAACAAATACTCTCTCTCTCTCTCTCTCTCACCAATTTTCCCGATCCATCTGATCAACTCCAATCGTCTAGATAGGAACACAATGATCTGCATGTATACTCACACATACAGGTAATGAATGACATTTTGCCGAAACTACTATAGATTGAGTGACTTGAGATGAATCACTATTGCATTTCACCATTTGTTGAATTGAGAAGCAATAGCAAATCTGTTTGTATCCACAATATGACATTTCAAACCGATGTGAATTGAAGCTTTCCATCAAAAGCAGATTAGGTCTTTCCCGATAAATGCACCCTCATCAGTATCCATTGTCTAAAAACATGGATAGAAAAGTTATACTGAAGACATTCTAAAGACCCAACCTTCCTCAAAAGAGCTATGCACTGATCTGGTACAAATATCAGGTTTTTACAATGGAAGTTAAGTTTTGTTTTGGTTCACACCCCTTTCAAACAATCCTTTGTTGTTTTAACTTCTATATCTACTTGTGCAATTTAAGAGTAAAATATGTCATCAAGACTATTTTCATATTTTTATTTCATCATTATTGTTATATTTCAATTATAATTAGACTTCATTAAATATCTAGATCTGGAATTGGAAGTCATTGTATTACATAGAAATGGGTTTAGAAAAGAACTTTCAGATCAGCTGCACGGTATCCATGCCTGATTAGAAAATTTAGATTTGTCCACATGACTTATTTCAGGAGTATTAAACAGAGTGGGACAAATGGAGGAAAGAGTGTGTTTAGAGTATGACATCCTAAACCCTGGACATAGTGCAAGCTTCTGCTTTAGGATAAACCATTTCATTCATGCTAATGATGCAGTTTAAGTTCCTGTCTCGGATCCCCTGTTCCACTTGGACTCAACACCACCTGAGCTGTATGTTCGCCAACCGATGCGACAGTAGCAAGCCCTGTTCCTTGTAACCTGATAGGTTGATTCCCTGCCTGATGATGATGAAGTGCTGTCTGCTGCTGCAGAGACAAGGCTAAAGGCTGCTGAGCGAGGATGGATGCAGCTGCTCCAGCAACCGTGGGTGGTGATGATGCCTTGTTCTGGTGGTCTCCCGGTGCTACCACACCCTGCATGACAGGTGCACCGGGGGTGGCAGCAGAAGCCCCACCCCCACCCTGCTGGAGCTGGATGCTGGAGAAGAGTTGATGATTGGCAGGGATGATGGCACTTAAAGATTTCCCCTGGGCATCAATCAGGTTGGCCATGATGTGCTGTATGGGTACTTGGAATGGGATGGGTTGGACCGAGGGGGTCGGATGTTGGTTGGTGTGAGCTCCACCTCCCGAAATTGCTCCACCGCTGCTTGTCTTGGCGTTCTGCTGCTGTTTGCGGCTACCACTGCTGGACTTGGAAGAGTTGGAGGATGAAAAAGATTTGTTTGCTGCAAGAAAATAGGATTCAAGTTGAATTAACAATCACTATCAGAACTTTTTCTTAAAATCAAACTAATATAGATATGAGTTTCAAGGGAATAAATAAGATTGATTTCATTTTATTTTTTTTTTAAGAGAGAGAAGGAGAGAGAAAGAGCAAACAGTTAAAAAATCAATACTCAAACACTTTGAAAATTGTAAAAAATTGTAATAGTAAAAGAACCACCAGAAGGAAAAAAAGAAGTAATTACCACTTAGACTTTGGATTCCTGAGCTGTACTGAAAGCTTCCGCTGGGAGAGGTCTCGGTAGAGTTTCCCCCAGGGCTAGGGGTACTTGTACCACTTGGGCTAGTAATATCCCCTGGTAGCTGCTGCTGCTGTTGCTGTGGTTGTTGCTGCTGCTGGTGATGATGATGATGCTGTGGTTGGTGGTGTTGATGGTGATGAGGGTGATGCTGATCAACCATTACCACGCCACCGCTTGCTCCGACTCCTACCACTGCATTACCTGCCGAACTGCCACCATACACCTTGTTGCCAGTGTAGAGGGCGGTGCCAGCGGGAGATGGAATGATGCCATTTGGGAGGGATGTCAACTGAGGACTTGCAGACTCCTACAAACATAGAAAAAGTATAAAGCAGACAGGTGAATTTACAAGTAGAAAAGAATATACTGAAAAGGGCAATTTTACATAAATGACAAAGGTTAAATGAAAAATCCATTTAAATGAGATTGACAGATGGTGAAACAACCGTTAACACACATTTTATGTAATACATCAATGAACAGAGTGTGCTACTTACTGGTCTTTGAACAGGACTAGGAGAACTCCTCATGCTAGAAATGACACCTTGATCCTGAACAATGATTGTATCTCCTTGAACTGTACCTATCTGCACTGTCTGCTGAGGAGAACAATGCACAATGCCACTCCCTGAAGGCTTACGAGTTCTTGAACTTTGTCTCTCAAGATTCTTACTTCCAACATTCTTTGTCCTGGATTTGATGTTCATTTTACCATCGTGGAGCTGCAATGCTCCTATGTTCCCAATGACCATAGGCGCGTTGCCGACGGCATTGAGGATCGGTAATGTGATTGCAGGTTGCGACGCTCCTGCAGCATTGTTTGTATTATCAATGTTTGTCACCACAAATCTCAGGTTCTTCAAGAGCTGTCCTTGCATATCCGCTACACTTGTATTATTATCCATATTAATCATATCCACAGATTGAAGTCCATTGCCACCCACCACCGTGTACGTGGTCGGTGCTATTGCAAGCGGCACGTTGCTATTCGAGGACACAGCAAAAATGTTATGCACTATGTTACTTGCACTGCTGCTCTGAATAATCGCGGGGGAGACACCCCCCGATGCACTGCTCCCGCTTTTCCTCCGTACTTTTGAATTTTTGACTTGGTGTGAGAAACCCCCATCGCCGCTCTTTTCCGACCTACTGGCCTTTGATTTCTTGCTCTTGGAGGTACTGGACTTGGAGAGCTTGGCGTTTGGCACCGCTGAATGAAGGAGGCCTTGGTCCATGTGTGAGTTTGTAAGTTTGGGAGGCACTGAGGTGATGTTGCTGCCGTTCTTGGCAAGATTTGGTACAACTGCTGATTCCTGAGAGTGACACACTTTCCTGGAAATTGAAGGATAAAAATGACAAAATTACAATCTCTTTAAAGGTACTATGTCCCTTTTGCAGCCAACCTCAAATGCTATAGAACTTTGCAGGAATTATGAATATGTCATGTATGTCCTATCTGTGAAATTTAAACGTTAGCAGTGTCCTCATATTCAAATTATGCAAGGAAACCGTTTACTTGCTAGACTTCACTGTCAGACACTATTGAGTGACTGACTGGCTTTTTTTCTTCTTTGGTAATAACATACATGAAAAGAGTTGTAAAGGATACATGAGTATTTGTCTACATCAATAACCCACTTTTTGTGATGGCTAAGATTAAACTGATTGAATCTTTGCGCAGCATAAAACGTATGACCATTCGGTACAATTGTCTGAAAATCAAGACTATTACTTTTGGGCTCTATAGCCCTAAAGTCGATTTGACAACTAATAGTCGTTATTTTCCCACTTGAAGACATTTTCAAGCCCCACCTTTTTTAGGGAAGTTCTAAATTAGTATTATCTTTCAAATGCAGTTGGAATTTAACTTTTTCCTTTTTTGGCCTGCAAATGGGACATAGTACCTTTAAAACAGAATAAATATGTACGAAGGTTCGAATCTCTTTCCAGTGCGTGAGTTATCTACAATTGACTCTCTCTGCCCAAGCATTAATGCACTGTGTCCTGATAATGGCTGTCATTGCAAATCATGGGGTAATACTAATCGTAACTTTAAAAGTGCATAGGAATGTTATATCACATATGCACTATGCAAGAACAGCTTAATATTAACCTTTCAATCTATTTTATTTCAATTTCTAAAATAAACTGATAACTTTTGTCCTAGACGTTGTGGCATGAGCCTGTAATCCAGCTATCAATGGAAATTACAAACTGATTCAGCCGAGGACGCAGGTTCGAAACTGAGTCACGTCTTTCGGATGGTGATGTTTAAAGGTCGGTCCCCAGACGTAAATAATCATATCTGATTTATACACGTCTGTAAAAACCCTATACACACACACACGTCCTCAAAAGTAACATACAGGTATTGTGAGATAGACTTACTTCAATGGAGGCGGTTTGAGTTGTCTTTCCACCAGACCAGCTAAAGCTGCCCTGAGACGGTCCTGCCGTCTGTTAAGCACCACCATACCTTGCTCCGTCCTCTTGGAGCCATAAGTACACATCTACAGATAAAAGTAACACACAAATCATTAGACTTTCACACAAAATACACACATTATTGAAGATTAAGAAGCTTGACATCTAGAGACTTTTTTCAGTCTTACACAGCTAAACAGGGAATATTTCCCATTAAATTTTAGTCTAAAATGTTAATGTATCGTGATGAATGGAAGGTGCTTCAATCAGCACACTAAGCAGACTTAAGTACTGGAACGCATCACATTTGTTTTCAATAATCATTCCTTTTACATATATGTGAATATTTAGTGGGATTTATGACTATCTTGCCTCTATAATTGCATTTGATAATGACCTCTTCAAAGTGCCACAAACAATGAAAAACCTTTGGTGATTGTTAATGAAACATTGATCTAGAAGATAGAGAAAAAAAACTTCCTTGACACAGGGTCCGCAGTCAATTACCTACATTAAAAATGTTCCTAACTTCAAACCTAGACCACATCAACAAACACTATACCTAACCCTAAAACTAAACGTAACCTCAAACTGGCTGGAATGTTCCCCAGGGAGTGGAAAATGTGCATACATTGTGTGCGGCTAAGCCTGAATCCGATGACCGGGGTAATAATATATATCTGTAAAGCGCTTAGGCACATCGTTGGATCGATGTATTGAGTGCTATATAAACACGGAATATTATTATTATTATTATTATTAACCCGTTTGCAACACTAACCCTAACCCAATATCTCTGCCAAAATCATGCCAGCGGAGAAAATTTTGGGGTCGACGGACGATAGAGAATTGACTTACAGCAAAAGGCCTTGGATGATGATGAGTGCAAGGAGAGTCTAGTCTGTCTCCTGCCTCCTTTCCTTCCACACCCTGAGACGATAGCCTCTGATGTGTCGGGGAGGGGTGGTGCTCCTGCTGCCTGAGGGGGGCTGGATTCTGCTGAGAGGTATCCAGAGGAACCACTACCAGCGACGAGGAGGGGGAGGAGGAGGAGTCATCCCGCACCAGATGAATGGAGGATGATGCGGTTGACACCGACAGTGCCCTCCTGTGCAAGGTGAATTTAAAGAGAGATACGGAAATCGTTAATAATTAAAATAGATATTGCAGCTAAGAAGAACGATGTAGAAATCTAATACACAAGATAACATGTCCATCGTACTGTTACATGTCAATACTCTTTCTCAAAGAAACTATCTCATCAGCATTTCCTTCAACCGATCCAAAGATTTGAACCCATTCATAGAAAATTGATGAATCAAACATTTTAATCCACAGGGGAAAGAATTAGTAGAAAGAATGAAACCATATTTTAATAATGAAAGCATGTAAATAAATGGATTGTATAATCCCATAAAGCTTACTTGAGAGGATGTGAAGATGAGTTGATAATAATAGGAGTAGGACCAGGGCCATGTAGAACAGGTACAGTGGGAGTTCCTCCAAGATTCTGTGGATTTACAATTTCCTTCTTGATGGACTTTGAGATCGAGGGGTGGGTTCCACCTGATGCATTGCTACGGTTATTGCTGAGGACAGTGGTGTTGGTAGAGGTGGCAGTTGTGGTAGTTGCTCCAGGAGTTGCACCACCAGCTGCAGCAGCCTTGGCAGCAGCAAGGGCCTGAGACCTAGCCTTGTGCTCGGCCAGAAGTTCATTGAATGGAAGCCGCCGCCCCTGCACTGCCCTTCGTAGGGATAGCGAGTGGGTCTACCAAATTGACATTTAAAGTTAAAAGGATATGAATAAGAGGGTTCTTAAAGTAGTCACCCAAAGAAAAATCACGACAACTGATAATTATGGACATGTATCACACATGACGTCACGAATCTTGACACTCTACGGAGGACCGCTGAAGGCAAAAAATTCTGGATTTCAAAATTAACATTTTTGAGAGATGATTACTGTAGGCCCGAAGCAATAATATGAATTTTGCAACATTTCAAAACACTTTTGATTCTTCGGGTGACTACTTTAACTCTTTGCACACAGAGAAAGTACTTTGTAATAAAATTTGAAAATGCCAGACAACAGAGATAGGCTAAAATTTCATATATATTTCTGTTCATGAAATGTATTGTAGCATAATTCAGTGAGTGTACCTTACTAAATACAGCATCTTGACACCCCCCCCCCCCCCCCAGGAAATTTATATGAAATCATACCTTGCAAGTAAGAGATCTTGTGCAATGTCTCTTATGCTCATCACTCCACACGCCACAATGTTTATCAGGATCATACCGTCGATCTATAAATTAAAAGACAGGGATAACAAATTTGACATGAAACGTGAATTACTACCTAGGGTTTCTGGAAGATTTACACAAGAAAAGAAGAAGGAAAAAAAAGACTTATCCTGTGGTAAAATTTGCTTTTTGTATCCTTTTAGTACTTTATTAAATTAAGATACTTTAGAAATGTTTAAAATGCAGCTATAAAAAATGATAACACAATGTAGACATATCTTTTTACCCATATATTCTGATGACATAGTTAACGTAATTGTAGTAATATGACTACATTTTTATAGATGACATCTCCAATCCCACCTCTAAGAAATGAGTTTTGAGTGCTCTATAAACTCAAAAACCAACAACAACAAAATTATCAAAAATAATGTGAAACCTGCTTCATGGCTGGAAAAAATATAGGTCAGAAATATTTGAACAGAGTGCTACTATTATGACTGTCGGTAGGAAGGAAAGAATTCAAACAGGTACAGGAGTAATGGAGAGATGAGGGAAGTAGGAGAGGACATCGGTAAGGGGTAAGGGAAGTAGGAGAGGACATCGGTAAGGGGTAAGGGAAGTAGCAGAGAGAAAGGACAATACAGGAAGTTATACATTAGTAATGTGACCCTGTACTCTTGCCCATTCACAAATACAGTGTAATTTACAAAGCAAGCCAAACTGTCATTGCCACATCACCACACTTGTTTTTTTCTTTTAGAGCTTGTTCAACTTGCTAAATTGCTTCATATGCACTAGAACTACAGTCTTTCAAATAACACATATGTTTTTGTTGATTACATGCGATTCCGATCCAATCCTACTTTTAAGTTGTCTTCAGAAAGCTTTCATTGCTCTTTACCCATATCAAACTCATATTCAAGGAAGCATTTTCTTTTTAAATGCAATTTTTAAAAAAATGTTCCAGAGTGCTTCATCTTAATATATTTGTTTTTCCTGAAGGATATTTCAAAAAGTATCCAAAAATTTACAAAATGATAACGTCATATAATGATAATCTCAAATAAAATTATTTGTATTACCGTATTTGCCGGCGATAAGGCCGCAGCGCCGTATAGGCCGCACCCCCGATTTTGACATTTAAAAAAAAAAAAAAAAAAAAAATAATTGTCAAAGTCGGGATTTGATCTCTAGCGTACAAATGTTGATGTGACTAAAATCAGTGCCTTAGACCGCTCGGCCATGCCGCACTGATGCTAGCATATGGAGTTTTCTGTGATCTATACATTGCGCCTCTCTCTTGTGTATTGAAATGGATTCAAAATAGCGACTTCGCGGCAGCTCCGTTAAACAGGCCCTTCTTTTACTTTTGCAATGCATTGGCACGAACTTAGATCAAGATCTATCGGCAGATGTTGTTTTTGGAAGTTTATTTTCGTCTTCATGTCAAAAATGCAAGATAAAATTGTCGGTAAGATGTGTGGAAATGTATAGTTATTGTACCGTTCATAGATCTAGTCCCATATGTGCAAATTTGTGTTGGTTTTGACTTACTTTTTAAAATTTCTTTTACTCTTTCGCCGCATAGCCTGCACCCCGACTTTTTGATATTTTCTCGTCCAAAAATACTGCGGCCTTTACGCCGGCAAATAGGGTAATAGAAGGAAAACTCTGGAAGGATATCTAATTATCATATCAACGGGTCGACTATTTAATGGCATACACTTTTCCCCGTACAATTTCAATCACTGCTTCAGAATATGGTAATGCATGCAGAAAAAGACAAAAAAACACCCTGCTTATTTCTCTCCCACTTTCCCAGGAAAAATCCAAAGAATATTCTTTATTGCTTACAAAAATGTTTCACGTGTGCATCTTGATGTACTAACAATGAGATAAAACACATTTACAGATAAAGCAAACTAGAAAATGAATAAATCAATAGATATAGAACTCACCTTTACAAGGGACATTCTTATCTGACTTGACTGTGTTGACCTTCTTCTTCTTCCCAGATGACTTGGGAGTGGGAGGGGTTACTGATGGTGCCGGTGGAGGGGTAGGAGTAGGGGTAATAGCTATAGGGCGTGGCTTGACTGGGGAGTAATTTGTGGAGCTTGGGTGGCTGATTTGGATAAGATTTGAAGCTTCTGATTGGAGCTGGACCTGTGGAAGGGTGTCAGCAAGAGGGAGTGAGATAATATGAGGCTGTTGGGGAAAAGAAACAGAGAGAAAAAATGAGAGACTGTATCTAAAATATGTAAAAACCCTTGTATTTCCATACATGACATGTCACTTGAAAGGAGTGGTACTACTTACTGATACACAAATTTCATTTTCTGATCAAGTTTAAAACCATATTTATCTTAAAACATAAAATGATGACTCTAACCCAAAGAATGCAAGCTTTCAAGGTGGTAGAAAAATGCATTGCTATAAATGTCTCGACATTTACCAGGTAATTCAGGTAACTTGAATATTGCAAATATATCCATCTTTTAAAGGAAAATATCTATTTGCCAGGGTTGATGATAATCATAAGATAGTAAGTAAAAATGTGTATGCCCTCCAATATGCATGTACTGTAGGTGTAGTGAACTAACAAAAAAGTGGGTCTAAATGGAGTGTTACAATAAGCAGAGGAGTTCAAAAGCATCCTGAACTTGCATTTTATCACTGCTGACAAAAACTAAAGTTACAAAAGATTCAGCTTACACAATCCACCGAAGAATAAATTTCCTTTCTTCCTCACATGTTTGAGACAGGATTGAGATGGTAGGATTACAATATTGATGTTTAACTCATTACGAGAAGAAATGCGATTTCTTTTGTATTCATGGCTGTTCCAAATAAAGTGCACAATGCCACAAATCCTATTCTCTTGGTTAGAATGTTTCAGATGTTACGAAGCAGCTAGTTTTTCAAACAAAAACCTCGTTTCAAAATAGCAGGAGTTAAACCTGACTATTGTTAATAGGAAAAACAATCAAAAAGTGCATTGCTGAAATACATGACAGCATTAAATTTAAATTTCATGAGTTCCGATACTGGTTAATAATTGAAGGTTTTTAAATACATTAGATTCAAAGTTTATAACATTTAAGATATTCTGTCTGACAAAAATATAATTTAATCTAATATTCACAGAAAACAGCTATTATAATAATGTCAGCTTTTAACAAGGTCAAATCTATCTAGCGTCATACACTTAATGTCTAGCAGGTATAATGAATTCCCAGTAGGCGCGTCTTCATCATCTCGAGATTGCCAAATAGCCTGCTATTTATGATTTGGGAAATTATCCCGAAGTTACAAATCGCATCTTCATCAGCTCGAGATTCGACCTCGAAACTTGAAACTCGACCTTGAGAAATTATCTCAAGATATTTTACTCAGCGTTTGGGCATAGTGTGAGTCTTCGGTCTGGTGAAGACGCACCGGACAAATAGTTGGATATTTTGCCAAATAGTGGGATATTTTGCAAACTATCCCAAGATATCTTGGGATGACAATCCTGACCAAATATCCAGCTAATTGCCATTTCGGACTGATGAAGACGATAATTAGCTGGATAGTTTGCGATTGGGATAGTTCAAATAGCAGGATATTTGGCAATCTTGAGCTAGTGAAGACGGGCCTTTTATTCACCCTCTTCTTTTTCCATGCAAGCTTCCTACTTTCCCAGTACCTACATGTACTCATAACTTCCTCTCACATGATGAAAAAAATAAGTTTCATCAAAGAAAAATCATGGGGAAAATTGCCTATAGATGATATTCTATTGAACTAATATTCTAGGCATTACCAATGGTAGATTAAAACTGTGCATTATGGTCATTTCATATAAAAGCAGAAGTCAACATGGCATTATTTTCTAAATTCTTCAAACACCCTACAATAAGAAATCTCTCCCGAATCTCTTACAACTGGGATTTTTGTTCATGGACCTCCGTATCAAAGCTGGCCTGGAGTGAGTCTAAAGTAAGAGACTAAGTTGTAAACAATCCTAATATGTGATTGCTAGCAGGCATGGGATCCATCGAGACCATGTTCAATTTACATCAACTGTAGTCGTCTCTGATCCGATCTACCTTTCTCCTTTTCAATAGGTATTGAGGATTAGGTTTGTTTATTTCCATCTCAAAATCCAATATATATACGTAATCCTCAGTTATCTGTAACAATTACATTTATGATAGAACGCTCTCAAATGCATCTTATATGACGGTGATCCTCCTAAAGTATTTGGGAATGGATGTCAAAATATATTTGCTTTGAACATTCCATAGATGGGTGCATGTAAATGTATTCCAAGCCTCTTAGCATATGAACATGCATGTATTACTGTCTGTGATTTCCACAGTATCTAGGTTTTCTGGGCCATTTTCACTATTCTGATTTCAAATTCTGACATCTCTACTGTTTAGAGAAGTATTACAGTAGAAAATGAATTTCATAAATAACCAGGTATATACAAATCAGACATCCTAAATACGTTATTTAGCCTCATGTCATCCTTCATTCCTAAATTAATATCAAATTATATATATCTTTGATGATCATAAGCTTACCAAGTTTGAAATTTACACATATTGATCGATCCACAAAGCTAAAAGTATCTAAATTATCGCTTCAACTTCTACAGAAGTGACTAAAAGCACTTAAACCTCATCACCATTACCAGTATATATAATTAACATTTCCGTATCACTTTACATATAGTATAATAATATATATATATATCCGGTTTTAATTTCATTCTTGCCCGTAGTTCAGCACAGTTGCATCAAATAAAGTAAAAATTTGACAAATGGGTCAAATTATATTGACCACAAAATAAGCAGTTTATAATATTTAATTTTGACATTTCAATATGTTAGTACTTAGTAGTACATGTATATTTCTTTTGATGTGTCAACTAAAAGTTTTGTGTGGAAACCTACTTTGTTTTCATATGGTATTTAAATATCATATCAAAATTTCCATAATCATTAAAAAAATAACAATTAAACTTAATTAAAGTAGAAGCAAAAAGAAGTAAAAGAGGAAAGACATGAAATAAATTTGAGATAGAAGTATTTTATGAAATACAAACCGTGGAAAGGGACGTTGATAAACTCTCTGCTGATGTTAGTGGCACAGGCATGGTTTGTACAGGAGGAGACGCTAACACAACCTCCACGTTTTCACCTGCATAGTTTGTATCAATAGAGGGCACAGTTCTATTGACAAGTGAGTCATCTTGAGATGGCACTTGAATGGATAGCTCCTGCGAGAGTTCTGTTGTCTGGAGGGAGGAAAAGGATGTTATCCCACTCAGAGACGGCGAATCTAAAAGTACTGTATCCACGGGAGAAGATGGAGCTGAAAGTACATCGTGGTTTGAAGACGGAGGAGACCCTTGCGACGGTATGTGAGGGTCGTGAGGTGGCGGTGGTGAGGTGCTGTGGGGTTGCCGCAGGTGATCTTCCAATTGCCTCATGGGACTAATGTCTATGGAAGGCTTTGCGGCAGCGATTAAATCAGGCACGCTTTGTGTCCTTTTTGTTTCAGATTCCGGGGAAGGGGAGTTTGCAACTTGTGGCAGCGACACAAACAGCGGATGAGAGTTTGACCGAGAGGGTGGTCTTGATACCGATCTGCCTGTTTTCCGATGTGCATGCATTATCTGCTTATTGCAGGTGGGTGACGAGGTGCCTCCCAAAGGAGCAGGAATAGGCAGAGGAGGCAGTGGTCCGTCCGGAGGCTTCCCATGGCGGAACTCTGGATGGTGAAAATAGAAAATAAATGGTTAAATAATCCTGTAAATTAATGCTCAAGAAGAATTGACACAGGGCTAAAACCTAAGCAAGGCATGTCAACTAAAATGCATTTTGAACATATCAATGTTACTTGAATTCTTGAATGTATATATATTTTGAAAAGGCATTTAATGTAACTTAAAGAATAAGATCATGATAACAATGAATCTCATATAGCAGGTTACTATCAATCTTTTGACATCTATCCTTTCAGTCAAGGTTCATGTTTCAGTGCATAGGGAAAACAAATCCGACTGTGGCATACCGTTCCCATTCAAAACTGTTTTGAATGTCCAAATTCAGTAATCATCTGGTGTTATATGGAGCAGAAATTCTACTCTGTATGCTGACAAAAGGCACATAGCATGATCCTCAATGAATCAATCATGTGTATCAACAACAAGCACATAGGTTCTGTACTAATATTTCAAGATAAATGATCTTCATTTGGGAGGACTATTCTATGAAGGTTAACCCAAAACAGTCTGTTTTTCATGGAAGGTTAACTTGAAAATAACCTGAAAGAAAGAAGTATTACTAAACACCTGCAAGGATTCAAAGGCATTATTGATTTGACCTCCATATATACATAAACTACAAAGGCTATCTTATCTTTCTGAATGCTACATGTGTCATAAGACATATAATGAGACTTATGAGAGATATAATAATATCATTTTCAAAACTGATATGAATACGACAAACAGGTAGAGGGTAATCAACAGATTAAGACGAAACCGGTTCATGATGAATGTGACATTCTAGAAAATGTTGAGTACTGGTAAAGATGTTAAATGGATTCTGCCAGTATCAAGAAAATTATTCACTGAATATTAAAGACCAACAACTAAAACTGATATCTAGGAAACAGTTTTGGTATAAATTGAATGATAAATGTATCTGGGTATCAGCAAATAATGCTACTTAAGGATATCACTCTACAGTACATACACACCATTCGGTCTCAAGAGTAAGTTACTGCTTTCATGTGAATGTAACATGCAGCCAGTTTTCATATTTTGCAGAATCTCTCAAAATGCTATTAGCAGAACTCAAGATTCAATACAGCAGTAAAGTTAACCTGCTAAATACGAAGCCTGAGACATTTAACACAGAATGAAACCCATTGGAAATGAAATTGAATGCTGAATCAAATCACACTGTCTCCAGTCTCCACCATGCTAAAATGCCACTTCAGAACTGGCACCTGATCTCACAATCATTCCCAGCTTATAAAATAGCATTTAATTGACAATGGCAGTATGGAGGATACTCATAGGCATACTTAGGTAATACCATCCCATGTTTATCCCTCCAGTATTCAATGTCTTCTATTCTCATACATAAATACATCATGATCGTCGATTTTTTCCATATTGACCTACCAGACGGTGTTAATGCATCTATATTAGACTTTCATCGGACTTCCATCACAGATTGAGTGGCTCTATTGTATTGTGTCACACAATCACATACATGTGCATGGGAAATTATTATCAGATGTCGCGTCCTTCTAGCCAGAAAGTTTAAATGGAGGTTTTTAACCTTTCCGCAACCACATAAAATGTCTCACATGTGCAGTACATTTTACATACATACATGCACAATTGCACATACACGAGACATAGCATTCGTGAACATGCAGTATTGACCAACAAAACATAGTACATGCTCATGTAGATGTAATGTGCTAAAACTTATTGATGTTGTATAAGGGTAAAGTATGAATTAAATATTAAATATCTATTACCGGTATGTTGTCTTTAACAGTTTCTTTTGAAAAGATTTCCTTCAATCTTAAAGGTAATACAAAGTTTTTGTATGGGGTCATGAATTTGGTTCAAATGAACATATTGGAAGCATATACGATCCTACAATATTCAGTGATCGTTGTCGCGGTCGAAATCGACTCTAAAGTTATGAAATTGTAAATAATAAACACTGTATGTTGAATAGCTCCCTCTCAAGGTCAAGATTTTAATTAAGCTACAAAACAATGTTTATTGACTAAAATTGACTGATTAGCTATTCTCGTTCGGAAATGATATACCACAACTACATACTCTGAGATTTTCATGGTCGCAGCTACCAATGTACGGCCGTAGGAGCTATTTGAAATTTATCAAAATTTACCGGGAGCACCGGTAAATCTTTATATTCAATTTTTCTCGAAAGCAGAAGTGTTTCAGGGGCTAAAATTTCTGGTGTTTGTAATACATCCACAGGGGCATCCAAATATATTAAAATTGTAAAGAATCACTATCCACCCATTTTTCAAAATTTCCCAAAACTTTGTAATACCTTTAACAAATGAAAAATTAATAATTGTAATATTCACTCATTTAAGCGGGAATCAATAAAGCTTTTAGACTAGTTTATCCCACAATCAAATCAAGTCCTATGAGAAAGTTCAATATAAATTGGGTCAGAACTCAGAAGCACAAAGCTAAGACTATAATACCCTCAATCTTTTAGAGATCCTTTAACCTCCAGTCAAAAAGTGGGATGTAAGATGCAATATATTACGGTACATACTGTAGCTTTTCTTTGGATAAATTGAGGTTGAATATTATCACTTTGGAATTGATTTCTGCACATGCTTATTATAATAAGTGATTAACAAAAAAATGTAATAAAGTGATTATTTATAGTTCAAGTAGGAAAAACAAATTCTTTGTCTGAAGTTTGAGATAAAATACATTTATACTCATATAAATAATGCAGTTTATTTCTTAGAATATAAAGATTCAATCAAAGCACTACAAAAACAAGTAATTTGTTGTTCAATATAATGTTTCTAAATAGCTTTATAAACAACTAACCCCATCTACATGTATGCCCTACATTATGTAAATGTAACAATTAACAGAATGCTCTACATGTACATGAAGCTACATGTACACACTGTACATGTAGGTACAGGTACAAGATGATCTCAAATGTATTAAACTGTATTCAATTTTTTTTTAACATGATAGAAAAAGTAATAAATTGTTTAATTTGCGAAGAATGTAAGAAAAAATTCCTTAAGTTTTAATAAGGGTCAATTTCCAAGTAGACTAATAAGACCAACAACAATTGTATTTTGAAATGAAAAAAACAAAAACACATGCCATATCTTAATGAATTGTGTAGCACAGTACTTATAAATTTAATTTCCAAACATATGTGAGCCCCAGCAGAATAAATATATTGTGACTGAGGATAATTCAGCACCTTATCTTTGGAAAAAGGTCCTTGTAAATTGACAAAAGAGCTACCATCAAAAATGAATCAACAAAATGCAACAAATAAAACCTCTGCACACAATAGCCCTCATAATTCAAAATTATGTTCTTTTTAAAAACTTGGGTAAGCAAAAAAATTAACATACCAAATTACCAATAATCATTCATGAATCTCGAAAAGCCTATTAATAACAACTCCTCATTCAAATGTCTACTTCATGTATGAAAACTCCTAGTTAATTGTTGTTATAGAGTCCTGGGGTGGTATTCTGAACATTGTTGTAAGTTTTGTGTTATCTTTTGTTGTATCTTCCAGAGATAACACAGCGCTAATATTGTTGTAAGTTGGTATTCTGAACATTGTTTTATCCCTGTGTTATCTCTTGAAGGACCGCCTCTATCTTATCTTTGACCATTGATGACACGCCCATTTTTATGGACCCTACCAATCAAAATCTATTTTATATAAGCATGATAAGTAGATCAACCAATAGGAATACTTTATGCCATATCTGAAGATGCGCCTAGCGCATACTAATCTTGGGCGTATTTAGTTATTTTAGCACTTATTACGCGCGTCATCATTATGCGCTGTTGAATGTGGATCATGAAGACAAATCACGCTTTCACTATATTGGTTAAGATGAGAGCATTAAAATAGTCCTATCCTAGCATGTAATATCTTAGAAAGTTCTCATCTGTGATGTTTCCGGTCAACACACAATCTTCTTCTAACTCGTCTATTGGCACGAAGTTGGTTCTGGGCAAAAAATATTGCCGCCATTATATCACCACGAAAGATACAACAACCCCCTACCTGTTGTAAATATTGTTGTAAATACCATGCAAGATAAGATAAGATAAAAGATACAACAACTTTCAGAATACCAATTATCTCGACATATTATCTCCCGTGCGCATATGCAAATGAGAATTAAATGCCACTTTATTAATAATACGCACAATTACAAGCGCACCAAAGTATGAGCGCAGGCGCGGCCAATAAGATGAGAGAAAAGATACAACAAAAGATAACACAAAAGTTACAACAATGTTCAGAATACCAACTTTATCTTATCTTCAAAGATACAACAATATTAGAGATAACACAGGGTTCAGAATACCGCCCCTGACATTTAAAACAAATTTATGTTTCAATCTTGCAAGAGAGAAGCTTCTCTTGTATATGAAGCTGTGATTCACTGAAATCAACAACAGCATATTTCGTTATCAAATGTAAAGGAATTTTTTAATAACTTCTACATATAATCTCATAACGATAAATCATAATTGAAATAATGCACATAATGAAAACAAAATGTTGGGCCGCATTCTCGAAGCTCTGTTATATAATTTCCAGAAAGGTATACTTGTCCTAACAAAATGAAAGTCTGTACTCAGTAGATTAAACACTTTTTCTAATGATGGCAGAGAGCTTTTTGCATTCATTATCAACCTATGGCAATGCAATGTCCTAACTCAGAACATACTTTCACAAACATTGATTTAAGATCAGAAAGTTTTCAAAAATTATCAAAATTACAAAACGCTTAAATACAGCCCCGGCATAGCACCTGAAGAGCTCTCCGAACGCTGCCGAGATGTGTGACATCACAGGTTGCGCATGATTTGCTCAAGCAGACGACATCCCATAAAGAATGAACATAATTGCAATGCTATTATTTCTCAAATTATAATAAGTTTAGTGTATATAAATGTGATGGTATTTCACACC